TTTTTTTCTTCTTTTTGATTTTTTCTCTCTCTTTTTTTATTTTTTATTTTTAGTAATAGTAGTGGTTGTGCAATGTCAGTTCACTTAAGTTTTCGATCCAACCCATATATCGAGCTTTAGGTTAATGACTCCAAAACCACTAAGGCTTTAGGGCACTAGGTGTATAACACCCTTAAGGACATATTAACTCGAGTTGGAAAGGCTACGAAACCAACTAACCACCCTGCCTCATGCCAAAACTCTACCATTTAACGCGAAAATCATTGCTGATTAGGTAGAACTGGCCCGGTTACTAGACAAAGCCTTGGGTGGAACAATTATTACTTTATTCATAATAATAACTAGAACAATAATTTAAAATACACTTAGACTAAAAGTAAATGTTTCAATCTCACTCCACACAAATCATGTTGGTGTGAATGTGCAAATTTTCAAAGTATAACTTATGAATTAGTGTCTAAGCAATGATAAATAGAAAAGACTCAAATGTGGGATTAACCTTAACCATGTCCATTTGTTTTAACGTTTAAAATAATCTATGGATATTAACTTAAAAAGAATGAAAATTTTATTTGACTCAAAATTAAAATTCTAAAATTATACCTTCCCACCCCCAAACTTATTTCACGCTTTGTCCTCAAGATACGAAAAACAATAATAGATCAAAGACACCAAAGAAACCTAACTAAACGAACAAAGAAACGAAAAAAAACTAAATAACACGAAAAACAAAAATGAGATCAAAGACACCAAAGAAACCTAACTAAACGAACAAAGAAACGAAAAAAAAAGAAAAAAAAGAAATACAAGATAGGAGAGCACCTGGATTTAAAAATTTGGACTTTGGCACGGGTCATGGGGCCTGATGCAAAAGAACATGGAGCACGATTGGCAGCCCTGGGAACCAAAAGAATCTGGGCCCTGAAAAGATCCATGAACAGATTGTGAAAACTAACCCTTTGGCACACGTATACCGCACACGTGCACCAAAACCTAGCTGTTTGTGACCAAGCTTTGGATGCTCTGCATGCATTTGTCTCGAGCCCAGAGCGGCTCTCTCTCCCTCTCATTCAAACCGGTTCTCCTCGGGTAGCACGGAGGCTCAGAATGCGCACACGTGTCGTGCATCAGGAATGGGAGCTCCCTAGGATTCCAATTGAAAGGCTAGATCTCTCTCCCAGTTCTGAATGCTTTATAGAACCCTAGGTCTCTCTCTCATTTCTCTAAAGATGAGGGATATCTCTCAAGAAAATCACAGAAACCGCTCTCTCTAATTCTCGAGAAAAACCATAGCTACTCCTTCATTCTTCAAACCCAGCAATCCGTGTCTCGCCCTCTTCAAGAACGAGGCAGAACCACTCCCAAACTCATTTACTGCTGCAAAAGACAAAGGAATCTAACATCCATTCATTTTCTGAGTTAAAATGTGCGTAGACTGCTCACGGATCTGTCGCCGGAAAAATAGAAATCGGGAGCAAATCGTCTCAGAACCACAGATCCGAGCATAAGAAAGGTAAAAACTCATGTCGTGAAATGTTCAGCTCCGTATGGCTAAGAATGGTTCAATGTCACTGCATAGCTCAAATGTCCATCTCTCTGTGCATGTAGGTGGCTCGGATCGAGTGGAAATCCGAGAAAAAGAATCCTCAAGCTGCAAATGTAGTTGACAAAATGGCAAAGCAAATCTCGAAGTCGCCGCGACCTTGGATCTGAAAGGTATAAACACCCATCTCTGCTGGAACCATGTTTGTTGGATGTGGAAACTTTTTGTAAATGAGTATGCCTGTATTATCTTCTCCCCGTAATAAACCTATTGAAAACCTGATCACCCCAAAACATATATATACCCATGTGGACTCGAACCGTGTTGAGGACAGAGAATGAACCAACCCCCAAACTTAAATACTGGCATCCTTGGCACTTTTGAATGTAAAAAGAGATGGATCCCAGAAATATCCTACATTTGCTGATATATGATCATGACCACTGTAACTCGTACACTTGATTGCTGTGTTGCAGGAAAGACCCCAGATTGGCAACGACACATTTGGCTGACCAAACTATCGGCCTACAATGAAGAATGGCCGCGTAGCAAAATAGAGAGGTATAACATCCCATCCCTGCTATGTGAATCACAGATGTGGTTGATGTTGATGTAGTTATGCGACTGGATGCATGATTCAGTCTAAAATTAATTGTATTTATATTTTCTGAGACAGTGGCAGAAGAAAAGTAATAACAAAACCTTGGTTGAGGCAAAACGGCTAAAACATCAATTTCTCAACATTGACAAAGACATCAATAGAACAAGCTGGAATTTAAGGAAACTAGAAGCATAACCATAAATAAAACGAAATGAGTAGCAAAAAAATTCTCATATTCAAAACAATAAGAAAGAAAACTAGTAGGAAGTGGAATAAACCATGAAAAGCAGCATGAAATGTTCATATAAATGGACATTAATAAATAAAATTAGAAGAATATAGCAAACAATCCGTATTACCTCCTACGCTTGAAGAAGCTCAAGCTAACATTAAACTTCACGAACATGACAAACACCATAATCAACAAGTCGGGAAAAACTGAACTCAATTTGGCTTCCAACATCATTTTCTTCTCCAGGAGTTGTTCTTTCATGTGTCGTGCAAAATTTATTTTATTATTACTAATTTTATAACAGTAAGTTTTGTATGACATTCATGTAGAGATCAATAAAATAAATTAAGTAAAGGTTGCACATATACACGTAGGGTTCTGATTTTTGTTCTCATAAAAGTGCATGACTATCGCCCTTGAGAAATTAAGCGCTCCAACCATATTATTTCTAAAGGAACCTTGGATCACTTTAAAATGTCATATGTATAGATAAACTTGATTGAGGCCACCTAGTTTTAAGGGCTGTTTCTATTCTCTAAGATTTCTAATTGAATTAAGGCCTGACATGATTTCAGCGGGAAGGTAAAACCTCTCGCAGCTAGACTGGAGAAGTGGATGATACCACAAGTCCATGGTATCACGCCTATTAACAACTAAATGGATAATATGAAGTTGAATTGATGGAAATTTTTATTTTTTTTATTAAATAGAAATAATTTCACTTAAGCACAAAGTTAAAACCAGTGAACAATAAGTCCACTAGAAGACATACACATAAAATAGAATTAACAGAGCCCTACAGTAGCCCCATTGGCATTAACACTTGAAGTCATAACCTCATGCAACCAAAGTGATATTAGGCGGTTCATGACCAAAATCCTAAGCAACATCGCACCGGTTGTATTAATAAAGAAAAAGATAACATGAAGTTTATTAGATAGTGGTTTTTCATTCTTTATTGAAAAGAATAATTTTACCACCTTACAAGAAAGTTGAAGGAGAGAGGATCGGAGGCGTAGGTAGTGTCGGAAATAAAGATATCGAGGTTTTTGTAGAAGTCTCTCAGCTGGGGTCATCTAACACGCCTTTTATTGGGTAACATATAGAGGGTGTGTAGTAGTAAATGATTTCGGCGGCGGCTTGATAAGCAATGAGCCATTTATAACCTTAACTGTATCATCATTTAGCAGACTGCGCTTGATTTTGGGTCGATTGAAGGTTGAACCCAAAATCAAGCGCAGTTTGTTAAATGATAATACATTTAAGATTATAAATGACTAATTGCTTATGGAGCCGCATTCGAAATCATCTACTGCTACACTCCCTCTGTTACACAATTGTAGGTGTGTGTGAAAGGTATACTTGGGGACGATGATGGATGACCCGAGTTGATAGACTTATACAAAAACCCCGATATCTTTATTTCTAATGCTATCTCCTTCCCCAGTTCTCTCTCCTTCAACTTTCTTGTCAGGTAGTAAAATTGTTTCATTTTAATAAAGAATGAAAAATTTACTATCTATTAAACTTTATGTTATTTTTTTCTTTGTTAATACTATTGGTGCGATGTTGATTTAAGATTTTTGTCATGAACCGCCTAATATCAATTTGCATGTATTATAGGTTATGACTTCAAGCATTAATGTCAATGGGGCCACCGTAGGGTTTTTTTAATTATATTTTATGTGTCTTCTGGTGTACTTATTGTTCACTTGTTTTAACTCTGTGCTTCAGTGAAATTATTTTTATTTAATAAAGAAAAAATCTCTATCGATTCAACTTTATATTATCTATTTCGTTGTTAATAGGTGTGATATCATTGACTTGTGGTATTATTCACTTCTCCAGTCTAGTTGCAAGAGGTTTTATTTCCCCGCTGAAATTCTATCATGCCTTAATTTAATTAGAAATCTTAGAGAATAGAAACAGCCATTGAGATAGAATGGCCTCTATCAAGTCGATAAAATCATCTATAGGTGAGATTTTGAAGTGATCCAAGGTTCCTTTATGGTGGGAGCGCTTAATTTCTTAAGGATGGTAGTCATGCACTTTTATAAGAATCAGAACCCTACTTGTGGTATGTGCAACCCTTTCTTAATTTATTTTATTGATCTCTACATTAATGTTATACAAAACTTACTGTAATAAATTTTGCACGACCCTTTTAACATAAAAAAACAACTCCTGGAGAAGAAAATGAAGTTGGAAGCTAAATTGAGTTCAGTTTTTTCCCGACTTGTTGATTATGGTGTTTGGCATGTTCGTGAGGTTTAATGTTAGCTTGAGCTTCCTCAAGCGTAGGAGGTAATATGGGTTGTTTGCTATATTCTTCTAAATTTATTTTTTAATGTCATTTATATAAACATTTCATCGTTTATTCCACTTCCTCCTAGGTTTTTTTCTTATTGCACATTTGAATTTTATGCCACTCATTTCTTTTTGTTTATGCTTCTAGTTCCTTTTGTTTTCCTTAAATTCCCAGCTTGTTCTATTGATGTCTTTGTCAATATTGAGAAATTTATGTCTTAGCTGTTCATAACAGGTGGAACACATAACTTAAGATATCATTGATGTGCAAGAAGGCTGAAGGGGTAATAAAAATTACCAATTCTAATCCCCAGAACATGGAGGTTGTTGTTAGGAAGAGGATTGCAAGCATGTAACTCTCTCTATGTGCATAATTTTTCAGCTTGACTGTTACTTACGGTTATATATTGATGATAAGTTAGTCCGACAAAGAGAAGAATCATTTTCTAGCATTTGACTTGATGGAAGGAATAAATGTTCATGCTATTGAAGCGAAAATTGCGAAGTACCAGGAAGAAAATGCTGAACAAATAATGATTAACAAAGCTCGTAAGATAGTTCAAAATAAGATCGCCGTGTTTTTTACCCTTAGTACCTGCTGATTTTGTTTAATGGGAAAAGATGATCCTAATGCCGGCAAAGTGGCAATATTTGAACTCTTAAATGTTTTTTGCTTAGTTTATGACATGGTTCTAATGCTGATTTTGTATAATGGGAAAAGAGGATCCTAATGCCGGCAATATTTGAACTCTTTAATTGTTTTTAGCTTTGTTTATGACATGGTTCTAATGCTGGTGTTTTCAATCGAATAGGCTGGAGAGCTTGCTGCAGCTCTAGCAGCAAGCAAGGGACATCCTCTACAGAATGAAACTGATGCGGTAAGAGTGGTTTAGGGATTGTTACTTGTATGCATTCTCTTATGTTTTCTTTAGATGACCTTGCACATTTTAAATGTTGAAACAATTCAAAGAGATTTTGTTAACTGATCTGATGGGTTTATTGATAGGGTGTGAGTCAAGGCTCTCAAGCAGGATTTGGTGCTGGCAGACAAGGGGCAGTATGCTCCCTACAGTTTCAGGGCAACTAAAGACCAACTGGCGGCATGGGTCCACAACCACCACCACTTGGAGGAGGGGGGCATGATATGCACGGATACACTTTTGACGATATAGAAATGATGAAGGTGCGAGCAGAGAGAGGTGGTAGGGCAGGAGGGTGGAGCGGAGAGATGAGCAGGAAGAGGGCGGTAGGGCAGGGGGGTGGAGTGGAGAGATAAGCAGGAAGAGGGCACTTGAAGAAGCCTATAGTAGCGTTTGGATTTGTTAGCTCTGTAATTGTAAGAGCAGAAACATGCCTTTTTTTTCATGGAAACAAAATTGTACAATCATCATTAGTTATTACTTATACAATGATCATTGTTTAGGACTCTTCTTATGGAAATTGGTATGTCTCAACGAGGTATTGAAAAGATGTTTCGTTTTATTTTTTGCTTTTTATAAAAAAGGGATAACTGGTGATAAATTATTGTTATTCATCTCTTTCGGGCCCGGAATTGGCTAGTTGGGAATTCGCCACTCCTTTAGGGCCAAGAGGAGGCTAGTTGGGAATTGTATCATCCTCGTGGCCACAATCAAGCTTAAAGAATGCTGGATTAGAGCCTGATGAAACAACTTACTGTTCAATGATTGAAGGTTGGGGTCGAGCTGACAATTATAAGAAAGCAGAACGGTACTATAAAGAGCTCAAGCGGTTGGGGTACAAACCTAATTCGTCTAACCTGTACACTCTAATAAACTTGCAAGCCAAGCATGATCATGAAGAGGGGGCCATCAGGACTCTTGACGATATGCTGACAATGGGGTGCCAATATTCCTCGATTCTTGATACTATTCTGCAAGCATATGAGAAGGCAGGAAGGATTGATAAAGTGCCTCGCCTTTTGAGAGGTTCTTTCTATCAACACTTTCTTGTCAGCCAGACTTCTTGTTCCATTCTTGTCATGGCTTATGTAAAACACTGCTTGGTCGATGATACTATGAAAGTGCTGAGGACAAAACTGTGGAAGGACCCTCCTTTTGAAGATAAATTATAATGGCATGTTAAAGGTAATTTGGGGTGTATTTTAATTTTTTTAAAAAAAGCTTCTGAAGTCGAAATTGTCTTTGCATGTTAAAGGTGGTTGCTGCCTTGCTGGGAGATTTATCCAATCTTAGAAAGAATTACTTCGGTTTGTCGAATTCCAGGAAATAAAATACGCCTAACTTCTAGTGTACTGTTATCTATATAATTAAAAAGAAGCCCGCGCTTCAATGCCAGTATTGAAACTATAACCACAATTTAACACACATATCTCTAAACAATTCAGAAATCGTTTAAAGCAGCTAAAGCCACATGGTATAAATAAGGTTTTCAATTTGCATTTGTATTCTATTAATTTACATTAAATACTTATGTACAACTAAAATGATAGATTTGTATGTACCAATCACAAAGAGAAAATAAATTGTTCCCCTTCATCAGTTTGCACCCAAATGATAACAGAGAAGTTAACGTTGTAAGTAAATGGACAGGTGTTGCGTTTTTAAAGAAACCACAGAGAGGCCAGGGCTTTTATTAGGTACAGAAGATTTGCAGAATTATTGTGTCATGCAGAAGATTTCAGTCCTTGCATAATTATGTGTTCCCAACCAACCATCCTTGCAGAATTATATGTTCCCAACCAACCGTCCTTGCATAATTATGTGTTCCCAACCAACCGTCCTTGCAGAATTATATGTTCCCAACCAACCGTCCTTGCAGAATTATATGTTCCCAACCAACCGTTGGATCAACTCCCCTTAAACTGATAACTTGTGCCTTGGCAAGAAAATAAAACTTGTGCAAATTCTTAGTCTTCCCTCTTCTCTCCCCTCTGTCCTCACCTTTCCTTCTGTGCATTTTCATCCTTCCAGGGCTCCTTGCTTTTCTACGTGACACTCTTTTGCTATCCATTTTATTTTCTGGGTTTTCCCTTTTTTTTATATTATTTTCTCCTTATTGGTTTCTTTGTAGTTGATATGCTCATTTTGTTTTTTGGGTTTTTTCCCCCAGTTTTACGTAGTTCCTGAGCTTTTGCCTTGTTTGAGTGAAGTGGTTTTTTTTCATCATAAAAATAAAAATCTTGCTCCTTTTGCTCTTTGGTTTTTTTTTTTCTCTCCTTGTTGGTTTCTTGTAGTTGCTGGACTCTCGTCTCATCTGGTTTGAATAAAGTGCTGTCTTGAATATTAAAAAAAATAATATGTTTTTCCAACTCATTTTGTTTTCTGAGGTTTTTTCCAATCTACTTTACGTTATTTTTCTACTTGTTGATTTGTTTGTAGTTGTTGTGCTCATTTTGTTTTGTGGGCTTTTTTTTTTCTTTCGTTTTGATGTAATTTTCCTCCTGGTTGAAGTTGCTGGACTTTCCCTTGTTTGAGTGAAGTGTTTTTTTTTAATAATAATAAAAAAATATTTTTCCTGCTCATTTTTCTGGGTTTTTTTTTCAAATTTATTTTCCCTATTTTCCTCCTTTTTGGTTTCTTTATAGTTGCTGGCCTTTTCCATTGTTTGAGTGAAGTATTTTTTTGAATGATAAAAAAAAAGATGTTTTTCCTGCCCATTTTGTTTTGTGGGGTTTTTTTTTTCCAATTTTTTTAAAATTATTTTTCTACTTGTTGTTTTCTTTGTAGTTGTTGTGCTCATTTTGTTTTCTGTGTTTTTATTTTCCGTTTTTTCAATATTATTTTCCTCATTGTTGGTTTCTTATAGTTGTTGCGTTTTGCATTGTTTGAATGAAGTGTTTCTTTGAATAATAAATAAAAAATATTTTTGTGTAATTTATTTTGCAGGTAGAGAATGAGCAATATTCAATTTGGGAATTTGGGATTATTGATGACGCTGACCTTAAGCCAATCCTAGATTCGAAGTTGTGGGGTGACTGGAGCAATATAAAGATATGGAATAAGGCTCTTCTCCACGAGCTTAAAATTTTTATCAGGTAATAAGGGTGTTCTTCATACCTTAAAAATTTTGTGCCTTTTTAAAATTTAATTAAGTTGATTTGACAAGTAACTACTTTAGCATTTTTTTGTTTACTTAAATTACATGTCATTATTAAAATACTAAGAGAGCTTTTTTTTTTCACTATGAATATGATGATATATTTGCATATTTTATTCTCATTTTAAATTTTGAAATAAGCTTGGTTCATCTCCTCTTTGTTCATGTTTCATTATTTTTGACTTTTTTTTTTACGGAGGCTGGTACAAGTTAGTTAGGTTGGTTGGTAACAATTAATTATTTTTTAGGGATTCATAATGTACCATCATATTAGTATGTATTAAAATAAACATTTCATAGCGTACCAACATATTGATACATATCAAAATAGACATTTCATAGCATACCAACATATTGGTATGTACTAAAATAAGGTACATCGAAATTCAGATACTTATTGTTCATCAATCCTTCCATATTTATTCCCTGGTAATTAGTACTAGGGTCTAATGGTATTTCTCTTCACTTGTAAGTTAGAGGTCTTAGGTTCGATTCTTCTCAAGGCAAATTTGAAGCTAAGTCCACCATATTCCTTTTAGTATAGATAACGGTGTTTGTTCAAAAAAAAAAAGTGGGGTAATTCAAATTGTATATATTATTTTTCAGATCAATTATCGTTCTGATTATAAAATCAAAGAAAAAAGGACAGATGCATGGTTGATTAAAAAAATGATAATATCAGACTTGATGACAATTCAATTGGATTAATCAAATTCCATTGAACAATCTGAGGGTTGAGTTCAAGCTGTTGGTAGACCGACCGATTTCAGTCAAAGTCGGAGATGATGTTAACTTGGTTGAGTTAACTCAGTTCCTTCACCTCATCAGTCTTCATCTGCCACTGTAAGAAATATATATTGCTTTATATTTAAGTCAAATTACGTTTTTTAAGGTTAAATTTAATTTTAATACTTAGTTATTTGTTAATTAGGGAATATTTTGCCTCTCTCTTTTACCACTCAATTATGTTATCGATGGAGGAGAGATTTCATGGTCCATTTTATGTGGTCATGGATTCACGTCTCATGGCTATCTATAATTTTTTGGAGAAAAATATATCAAACTGTGCTAGGAGAAAAAGTGTATTGATATCAAGGAATATGTCGAAAACAATGGAACGATAAAGAGCATACTTAAGTATAGTGTAGAAAAGGGTGATCATTATGACAATGAAACATAAACATATTTCAGAATCAGTTCTATTACACAAATAAATTTAAACTAAAGATTCAACTATTTCACTTTACAACATATAAAAGCTTATCGTGTGTCATAGAACATCGGGATAAATTCTCTAGCCTTAGCCTGTGCGTCTTCCTCGGAACGGAACCTCAAATTCTGCGGTCACATTGGTAGCACAGTTTTCGCCGATATGGTCGAAAGCAATTTGGTATTCCACCTTCTGCCCTTGGACGAGTTGTGGTTCATAGCCTTCCTCAGTCACTACATACTTCTTCTTCACTTTTATTAATGAGCCATCTGGTTGGCTTATAATTCCACAACTATGGACTACATCCAACAATCTTTCAAAACGTTACCAGACGGTTCATTAATAAAAGTGAAGAAGAAGGATGTAGTGACTGAGGAAGGTTATGAACCGCAACTCGCCCAAGAGTAGAAGGTGGAATACCAAATTGCTTTCAACCACACTGGCGAAAAGTGTGCTACCAATGTGACCGCATAATTTGAGGTTCTGCTCCAAGGAAGATGCATAGGCTAATGTTAGAGAATTTATCCCAATGTTCTACAACACACAATGAACTTTTATATGTTGTAAAGTGAAATAATTGAATCTTTAGTTTAAATTTATTTGTGTAATGGAACTGATTCTAAATATATTTACGTTTCATTGTCATAATGATCACCATTTTCTACACTGTACTTAAGTATCCTCTTATCGTTCCATTGTTTTCGACACACTCCTTGATGTCAATACACTTTTCTCCTAGCACATATTGATATATTTTTCTCCAAAAAATTATAGCTAGCCATGAGACGTGAATCCGTGACTGCATAAAATGGACCATGAAATCTCTCCTCCACCGATAACAGAATCGGGTGGTAAAAGAGAGGCAAAATATTCCCTAATTAACAAATAATTAAGTATTAAAATTAAATTTAACCTAAAAAAATGTAATTTGACTTAAATATAAAGCAATATAAATTTCTTATAGTGGCAGATGAAGGCTGATGAGGTGACTCAACCAAGTTAACATCATCTCCGACTTTGACTGAAATCAGTCGGTCTACCAACAGCTTGAACTCAACCCTCAGATTGTTCAATTGGTTGTGATGTGAGGTAGGGAATTTGATTAATCCAATTGAATTGCCATCAAGTCTGATATTATCATTTTCTAATCAACCATGCATATGTCATTTTTTCTCTGATTTTATAATCAGAACGATATCTGAAAAATAATAAATACAATTTTAATTACCCCACATTTTATTTTGAACAAACGATATTATCTACACTAAAGAGGAAGGTGGACTTACCTTCATATCTGTCTTTGGTGAAAATCGAACCTAAGACCTATCATTTACAAGTGAAGAGGAATATCATTAGACCATAGTAATAAGTGTCAATTATCCCAAAGAATAAATATGGAAGGATAGATGAACAATAAGTATTTGAATTTTAATGTACCTTATTTTAGTACATACCAATATGTTGGTATGCTATGAAATGTCTATTTTGATACGTATCAATATGTTTGTACGCTATGAAATGTTTATTTTAATACGTACTAATATGATGGTACGTTATGAATCCCTAAAAAATAATTAATTGTTACCAACTAACTTGTACCAGCCTCTCTAAAAAAGAAGTCGAAAATAATGAAACATGAACAAAGAAGAGGTGAACTAAGCTTATTTCAAAATTTAAAATGAGAATAAAAATATGCAAATCTATCATCATATTCATAGTGAAAAAAAGCTCTCTTAATATTTTAATAATGACATGTAATTTAAGTAAACAGAAAAATGCTAAAGTGGTTCAAAGCAACTTAATTAAATCTTAAAAAGGCACAAAATTTTTAAGGTATGAAGAACACCTTATTACCTGATAACATTTTTAAGCTCAGAGTGGAGAAGAGCCTTATCCCATATCTTTATATTGCTCCAGTCACCCCACAACTTCGAATCTAGGGTTGGCTTAAGGTCAGCAGCATCAATAATCCCAAATTGAATATTGCTCACTCTTTGCCTGCAGAATAAATTACACAAAAATATTTTTTATTTATTATTCAAAGAAACACTTATTCAAACAACAAAACGCAACAACTATAAGAAACCAACAATGAGGAAAATAATTTTGGAAAAAAAAGGAAAATAAAAACACAGAAAACAAAATGACCACAACAATTACAAAGAAAACAACAAGTAGAAAAATAATTTTAAAAAAAATTGGCAAAAAACCCCAAAATAGAAAATGGGTAGGAAAAACATTTTGTTTTTTATTATTAAAAAAAAACACTTCACTCACACAACGGAAAAGCCCATCAACTATAAAGAAACCAACAAAGAGGAAAATAGCCAAAAATATTTGAAAAAAAACCCAGAAAAAAATGAGCAGGAATTTTTTTATATTATTATTAAAAAAAAACACTTCACCTAAACTCAAACAAGGAAGAGTCCAGCAACTTCAAGAAACCAACCAGGAGGAAAATTACATCAAAACTGAAGAAGAAGAAAAGCTCAGAAAACAAAATGAGCACAACAGCTACAAACAAATCAACAAGTAGAAAAATAATGTAAAAAAGATTGGAAAAAACCCCAGAAAACAAAATAAGCTGGAAAAACATATATATATATTTTTATATTCAAGACAACACTTCATTCAAACAAGACAAGAAGCCACCAACTACAAGAAACCAAAAAGGAGGAAAATAACTTTGTAAAAACCGAAAAAAAAAAACATAGAAAACAAAATGAGTACAACAACTACAGAGAAATCAACGAGGAGAAAAATAACTTACAAAAAATTGGAAAAAAAAACCCAAAAAAACAAAATGAGCAGGAAAAACATCTTTTTTTAATATTATTATTAAAAAAAAGGAGGGAAATAAAGTTAAAAATTGAAAAAAAAAACCAGAAAACAAAATAAGCAGAAAAACAATTTTTTTTTTATGAAAAAAAAAAAAAACACTCATTCAAACAAGGCAAAAACTCAGCAACTACATAAAAACTGGGAAAAAAAACCGAGAAAACAAAATAAGTATATCAACTTCAAAGAAACGAGAAAATAACGTTAAAAAAGGGAAACTAAGACGGGAGAATTGCAGGTTACAATTGCAGGGCTTGCACCTCTCAAAAGTACGATCGGCCCCTGCACCAGACGGGGGAATTCTGTATTTCTGTTTAGCATATTGTAGGACCTACTATATACAGAAAACTAAGATAATTCAGTATCAAGTATATGAGTTCTCTGTCTAACACAGTTGGTGCCAACATTCATGCGGTTCCCAGTTTTGAGCAAGGCTTCAGGAACACTAATTCTAAGTGTTTGCTACTCGAATTTGCCAATGATTGGTTCTGGTATTCATGATCTTGGATGAGCAGCTTGCTTTCGCTATGCAAGTTTGCTTTACCTGAGGTTGGTTTATTACTAGAATGCTATTTGAAGGTTTGAATAACATTATTGTATTACAAATTTTATGCGGTGAAAGAAGTCATATCCTACTTCTCTTTGTTGCTAGATGGGCATTTGGGTTATGCTAAAACTATTGTAATGATGTACTACTGGAACTCAGCTCCACATACTTTCTGCAACTTTGTTCTAACCATGACATTCTTGTAAAGTGCCTTACCTTTTGAGAGGTTCTTTCTATCAGCACATTCTTGTCAGCCAGACTTCTTGTTCCATTCTTGTCATGGTTTATGTAAATACTGCTTGGTCGACGATACTATCAAAGTGTTGGGGGTAAAACTGTGGAAGGGTCCGCCCTTTGAAGATAACTTGTATTTTAATTTGCTCACGTAAAGAGTTGGGTCGTCTTGAAGATGCTGTGAAAATATATCATGTGCACAATGATTGACACCTATAGCATCATAGGTCTGTTAATAGAAGCGGAAAAACTTTATTTCAAGTTAAAATCTTCTGGAATCGTTTGTATGTAAAGCTGCTTCTTTGGAAGATGCTTGCTCTGTTCTAGACGCAATGGAAAAACAGGAGGGAATTGTGTGTTCCAGACATCTACATGTTCCGTGATATGCTCCGGATTTATCAACGATGTGGCAGGCTTGATAAGTTGAAGGACCTGTTCTATAAACTCTTCAAAAGTGGAGCGACATGGGATCAGGAAATGTACAACTGTGTCATAAACTGCTCTTCTCCTGCTTTGCCAGTCAATGAGATCTCAGAGACTTCAACGTGGTTTTGTCCCTAATAACATAACCTTCAATGTCATGCTCAATGTATACGGGAAAGCAAAGCTTCTGAACAAAGCTAGGGAGTTGTTCAGGATGGCTCAAAAGTGCGTTTGGTTGACATGATCTCTTACAATTCTATTATAGCTGCTTACGGGCGAAATAAAGATTTCAGAAGTATGACTTCAACATTTGAAGAGATGCAGTTCAAAGGATTTTCGGTTTCCCTGGAAGCCTACAATACCATGTTGGATGCTTATTGGAAAGAAAGCCAAATGGAAAGTTTTAGAAGTGTTTTGCAGGGAATGAAAAAAAAAAAAACTCGCTTCTGACCATTACACTTACAACAATACTATGGAGAGCAAGGATGGATTGATGAAGTTGCCAGTGTGACTGAGTTGAAAGAATGCGGACTTGGACCTGATCTGTGCAGCCATAACACGTTGATTAAGGCGTATGGAATTGCAGGAATGGTCGAAAATGCTGTCCATCTGGTCAAGGAAATGAGAGAAAATGGTTTAGAACCTGATAGGATAACCTATATCAATCTTATCGCTGCACTGCGAAGAAACGATGAATATTTGGAGGCTGTAAAATGGTCCCTGTGGATGAAGCAGATGGGGTTGTAAAGTTTACAATGCTGATGTGAGCCTCCCAACTCCTGATTAAGATCTGGCTCATAAATAAATGAAACCTGCTTTTGTTGATTTGAGATATTTCTTCAGCATTCTTACAACTTTACAAGCAGTGAGGTTTTAAGGGGTAGCATATTTTTCTTCTGTATCTCCTTAGGGTTCTGGTCAAAACTCAAATGAAGTGAACGGTCCTCTCTCGGAGGCCTGTTCTGTATGTGCAGGACAATCTTTGCTTAACAACAGCCAAGTATCGCTACTGCCGGTGCTGGAGAAACTTATGCTTGTACTCAGTAATACAAAGTGATGCGCAAAATACGACTCCAAACACGATGAACCGAACTATTGATAAATTTATTTCATTTCTTTACAGCTCTTGCTCACAAATTTGCAAGAACTTCCATTGGCAAAGTGTACATGTATCATGTATGTCTAAAGAATGATCTTTTCTCCTCCTACTCTGATACCGATAAAACATATGTTAATATGTTATACGTTGGAATACAATGAAAAGAAGCATACGTGACTTGAGCACCACTAAGATGACCTCCTACGCTGGCTGCTGCTTCGTATCTGCTTCTCTTGACTTCTATATCAGAGAATACAACCTTGAATTTCTGTAGAAGAGTCGCGCTTTCTGTACATGGGTAAAATGAACCAGATCGTTAACACTGCAGATGATCGATACCCATGAGAATCGTGTAGACTCGCTGATCGTGGGAAATCAAAGTTTGTCCTTCGTCTTTCACAAAAGCAACCTTAGGTTTTCGTTTCCCACTTCACGTTTAAATGCATACACGAATGAACTCTTACTACAGCTTCTCGGTCATTCCAGGAGTGGCATCTGATACGTGTGGCAATGTTTTTCGAACATCGTTATCACTGCTTGCTGCTCACGTTTCAGTTGAAAAAGTATGGAGATTCCAGAACCTCTTGCAAGTCGAAGTCACCTCTTTCTGGGAGGGGAGGGAATGTCAACGCTGGATATGATGCTTGGAAGCTTTCTAGCAACTGGGAACAGGCAGAGTTATTATGAAGTCAATGGAAATAAACATGCAATTTAATTCAGGATGGGCTGCTGAGAGGAAAGTTTCTACTTACATTTTCAAGTATCGGCATGCTATAGAGCTCTATAAACTTTTCCCGAAGTATCTCGTTCATTTGGTCTACGTCACATGCATGAGTCCAGAAGGAGTCATGTACCCCTACAAACATTTTTTTAACATGCATGTGAGAACTTAAACATATTTCAACATGTGAGTGAGAAGTAAACCAGTAGAGTTAAAGACCAGACTACTGAGACAAACCTGCAAAACGCAGGCCCGCGTCCCTGCAGGCAAGTGCAGTCATCATCATGTGTGAACCGTCAAGTGAGTGAACAAAATTTGGAGGAAATGCAGTCCTTTGTTTTCTAACATCTATCTGTAATAGACAAATGTTAACTCTGCAACAATTCATATAACATTTAAGGAAAGAGAACATTGAGTAAGCAGCGCTTACCAAGTTACTCTCCCGCTGCAAGGCTAAAACCTGAAGGGATGTTCTTATCTGCAACTCCAAGGAGGGATTAGTTACTAAATTGTCACTACAAAATTAATAAATTAAAACTTTAGCCCCATCAGTAGCAACATGGAAAGAAGAAACGATGCATGAATGCAATAGTAGATGCAATCATGCAACATATCCTGACATTCTGTACTAAACAATTTCATCTGAAATGGAATTTTTCCAGATAATGGTTTGCGGTGTTTGCCTGTTGATGTAAATTTAATATTTAACTAAGCTGCCAAACTTACAAGATGTCGTTCATTTTTACAGTAGGGTTGCACAACAGGAAGACCTAGAGGAGTAGTCCAACGCACAGGTTGATTTTCTGAAGCAATCACCTGCAAAAGTTTGATGACTCAACTTATCTACCAGGCCTATCATTTAGCGTCCAGAACATGACCCAAGAAAAAAAGTAACCGCACCTTGGCACAATCACCGAGCCAGCCCATTATACCACGTGCAGCTTGGAATATCTCACCAAGGGCAGCCAAAGTAACCTGTGGAAAATATGAAAAATTAGAAGGTATGATCTAGATACAAAAGTTAATGTTTTTCTTTATAAGAAAGCAGCTTATGTTTTTCTTTAGAACCTAAACTGGCCAAGGAGAATAACATGAGGTAATCATCTTTAAATCTAACATATTAAATCGGCAAACCATGCATTGCATTTGCATGTTAATTATCAATTAATTATCCAAATGAGGAAATCAAAGAAACGTCTATACGGTTAAATCTTGATCCACAAATATTTGGTCGCAGGTACACTAAGGTGGCTATTTGCTTACTTTAGCAGCATAGCAAGCTGCAGTGAAAAGTAGTCTATCGTCTGTAATAAGACCCTTCTCCTCTAATCTTCTTTTTATTTGTTCGCGTGCCCCAACGTAAGTAACTCCATACACTGAAGTCATGACAGTCTGTTTCACCAATTTCCGGTCAATCTGAAAGATTCCAAAACCATAGATTGTTAATTTCATAAATATGCAATTATGCATACAGACTTTTATAATCTATAAGCACTATATACATTCTCGCATGCAGAATTACATAACTAAAGAAATCCACATTTAATAAGTAGAAAAACTCATTTAGACAGCATATTGCAACTTTGAACTCCAGAGGAAGCAAGGAAGATCAACCTGATTAACTAAGACTCGGGCTAATAAAGCATTTGGGCTTGTAGTCGGATCCTTATTGCTGTCTCTTTCCATAATCTCATGTACCCTGACAACATATAGATATAGAAGATAAGTGTTAGTCATGTTACCTCTTCATCTAATATTTTTTCACCTCGTGGCACTATTCTCTCGTATTTTTATGCTTGTCGCACATCTAAAAGGAAGAAAAACCTAATGAGTAAAATGTGGAAATTTAATATACCTTGCAGCAATTTCTGAGTAAACATCGGCAGGTTTCTCTCCAGCTACTAAGTTGACTGCAGCTGCTTCCAACTGAGAATATCACAGCAATTCAAATCAACAACAAAGCAAAACTTTTACATAAAATAAAAGTAAGAAAATAAGTTCCTATATTATATTATATATAACAGAACACTGAATGTTTCGACCCCAGAACAAATAGTAAATGAGGAAAACTTAAGAAAATCTGCATGTAAAAAGCCCTTTACAATCAAATTTTCTAGATAATGACGTCTATAGTTCATTTACTACAAAAGTAGAATAAATAAGCAGAACAAATAATGGAGTACAAGAAAATTAGAGTGCAGTAACATGAAGATGTAAACAGAAAACTTATATCAATGAGGATAAAGCCAACTTACACTATCTCTTCCCAAGGCTGCATAGTGCTGTAAGCCATTGCATGAACCATCCTAGAAAATTGAAAGCTCATCAATGAAATATAAATGGAAAAATTAAAAATAAATTATCATTTGACCCACACAAATAGGTTAAAAAATTCTTATCATTTGCATAAACTTTTGAAAATATATGGTTTTGAGTATTAGATAATCCTAAACAAACTTGCATAAACTACGGTATATCTTTTTGCCACTCTAACGACTAAGAAAGCAATTTACCTGGTGGATGGGCAAATGAGAAATGACAGTATGTGGTGATGGGCTATTTAACGCTTCTGACAGATTGATACAAGCCGCTAGGCACTGTAAAGGATCTTCAGCTGTTAACCACCATCGGTTTCCATTTACAGGGTTTGTTGCTGAATCAAATATATCATCAATGTGATGATCCACAAATGCATGCCGTTCCTCATACGAAAGCTTTTCAACACCGCCCGCATAAAGGTTTGCTAAATGAATCTTCAGCCAACGTAAACCAGACTTCCCTAATGGTCGTCCTTCAGCAAATTCAAGGACTCCTCGACAGAGATCAGAACTCAAATGATTTAAATGTGGATGCATTGGGTATGCTCGGCCTCGAAAATCAAGATTGTGAGGATAATAAAAGCCTTCCTCATCCTTCATCTTGCGAGCAACCTATTTCAGAATCAGTTCACTCAATATTATTTCTCACAAAGTGAAATCTAAAGGTGGTGACCATATAAAATTGCAAAATAACACAATAAAATATCATAAACATTTTATCAATAAATAAAATACTATCTAATCAGATGGGGACCTTACAGAGAGCTTAAGTTCTGTGTCACATCGCAGAGAATGCCTTTCTTGGTTAATCTTCTTTGCTTTTCTTACACTCCATTTCCATTCCTGAATTTCTGTTAAACCCTCAAGCGGTGGTTTATCTGGCACTGGAACCTACAATCCCATAAGGATATTTAAGCCAGATGAAATTTAAAAGCAAAATCCAAACAAAATGATGTCAACAAACCCAAAATATGTTGCTGTAACGAAAATCCACCAACAAAACCAGTAAACTCTACTGACAAGGGAAGTAACTACATTATTCTAACTCTAGTTTCTTTCTTTTTCTTGGATCATTGTAGCTCGAGGCAGATATATCAGGACTAATTTGTTATTTGACAGAAAGTTATACATCATCCAATTAAGTTACGCTAAAATTTTCACAAAAGAGAAACAAGAGCTATCCCACATTGGGGTCCTGGCACCGTATAGGTGCTCATACTTTATACTAATGCTATGGCCGTTAGATTCATAGGTTTATCTCTGGACAATATAGTAACACAAAGGTAGAATAAAAGGTAGAATACAAACAAGTTCTTAATAAATTCAAGAGATCATTATGTGCTCACATCTTCACGATCAACCAGGCCTGCAATGTTGCCACCTCTAGCCCAGATGCTCTCCACCACGTTAAGTACTTTTTTATTCACCCTCCATTTGGTACTTCCAAGCATATCTAGGGCCTGCACATGCCATCAAAAGTGAATATCATTTTCACATGTGTAAGAGAAAGTACATGTTAAAGAACTAGAATAGATCATTGTTTGCCTCTATGCACAGGGAAAGTTCAGTTCATGATCTATTGTTCCATCACAGATAACTACTAATGGTTGCACCCAGTATTCTCGGTCACTAATCCATCAGAAAGGGGCAGTGACAGGAACAATGAGAATGGAACTCTAATTTAGCATCTCACCAAGTCTTAACTAGATAACTGAGCAAAAGCTCTGGTCTTGACCTATTATACAAGGGAAACATAGAATGGAACTCTAATTTATGTACCTCGAATACTTTCTGCATCTGCTTTCCAGAAATATTCCTCATTGTATCTACCTGCTTCCTAGATCCATGAGTACGCATGACATAAGAAGGTAGGAACAAGTGACCACCCTTATCATACCTGCAAAGATTTAGATTTTATGGGCATCTGAGTGCAGGCTTCTGATTTGTTTGACATTTTACTAGCCAAAAGTCAACTTGAATAAGATTTCGATTATTTCTTAACCGCATTCCTGCTAAAGAAACAAAACGAGAACATGCTAAATGAATTTCATATACTGTATCTCATACCCTTTCCACTTTCTGGGAGGCACCAACATTGGCACATAAGGAATCAACATATGTTTAGCCTGTAAAGAAACAAAGGCATAAATAGCTGGAGCGCACAGATATGTCCAATGTAAAAATGTAAAGAAACAAGTTGCAAACTGATTTCAAGTGTACTGAACAAGTAAACAGAAACAAAGGAAATATATCTCAACTTACAGTTTTATCAAGCCCAGTAAGAACTAGGGGATCACATTCTATAACTCCATAATTCTTCACAAGTTTCTGCCTATAAGGACCAAAAGAAGTTACATTATAACAAAGGAATAGTGGTAGAGTTTAAGGTATATGAATGGTTATCCTTTACGAAAATACATAGGTGTCCATATCACCACAAAAGTTCTTCATATTCGGATACTTCAACTAGTTGCAGAGGCAAATACCATGATAAAGTCTTACCCTGGAGTTTTTGCTGCAGCCTTAAATCTGTGCCTAAAGGCCGGTCTAACATCAGGTGGACCATCAGCCAACTGGTTAAGTGGAGGTTGTACGTAAGCTGTTTCTGTTAATAATTCTATCAGACGACTTCCCAGCTGCAAAATCACATTGCATAAAAAACCCAAAAATAAAAATGGGCACCCACAATATATTATGTAATCTAAAATATAAAAAACGCTTCCTCATACTGAGAAAAAAAAATTCTGAAAGCAACAAACCTTAGCCTGTGTATCACGACCCCAGGGTTTAAATTCTTCTTTTACCAAGAGTTTTTGCACCTCCCTCAGTCTTTTTCTTTTAATTAAAACATTAACACGTTTCCGCAGTATCTCCTTCTCCTTAATCAGACTGTCTTCATCAGCAACGGCAGTCTTCTTTCTCTGGAAATTTTTGGTTTTCTCCAAGAAACTGTGAATCCTAACCTGAATTGTAAGGTAACAATATATGATATTTCAACTTTAATTCCGTGATATCGTTGACAGTGATTACAAACAAGGAAATTTTGATGAAAAGCTATTGCATGAAATTTGCAAAAGGTTCCCTTTCTCTTAACTGAAGTTCCTCAATTACAAGTCTTAATAAAACAGCTGAGCAAAGTCATTTTCTTTTCAAAACAAATCAATAAATGAGCTAATCAGTATGCTTAATTCCAAAACTTGTCCATACATAAACAAGAAATCCCGATTATCATAACAACATTTCATGAGTGTAATATCCTTAAAGTTTAAACCTTTAGCTTTTATAGTGCACATCATCTCGCATTAACTTAGGGTGCATTTGAAAACCAATACATATCATATCATCATCGAAAATTCGAAACACACACAAAAGATTAGGAATTAGAACTCACCTCCTGCTCAATGGCCATCCCAATATGAACAGCAGCTTGAACAACCTGCACACACCCATCTTGATTCCCCACCATAACCAAGCCCATCATCTTATGCATAACAATCAGCGCCATCTTATCCGGCGGGAGCAAATCAATGTGCGGCGCAAACGCCGCCTTGTGCTTCTTCGTTTGCTGCACCTGCTGCTCCCTCGCAATCGCCTCCCTCAGCGGCTCAAACCACCCCAAAAACAAGGTCTTCACGTACGGCAAGCTCGGAGCCAGCTTCTTCTCCCGCATTACTCGCTCCAAATCCTTGTACTCCTCCACCATTCTCTCCCACGCCTCCGTCTCCGCCTTTATCTGCCGCCGCCGAAGCAAATTATACTTCCGCCGGTCGATTTCCTTCGACTCCAATTTCAACTCCTGGTTGGCCTTCTTGTACATGCCTTTCAGAAAGAGTGCGGCAATCCACGGCGGGTCCTGGATAAAAATCCTGGGCGCCGATTCCTCGGGCGTAATTAGGTGAAATTCTCTGATGGGTAGCTGTAAATTCATCGAATTTTCGACGAGATTGTCTTGGACGGAGTCTCGGACCAGGTGGGAGAGGACCGGTTCGGGAGGGGGCTTGAGGCTGAGGGGGAAAGGAGTGGAGGAAGAGAGCGAGGGCTTGAAGAAGAGGCGGTTGGAGGCTGAGCTGAAGAGGAACTTGTGGCTCAGCTTCGGCGGTTTCCGCCATGTGGAGCTGTACGTTTGAGCCTGCGGGCTTGGAGAGAAGGAGGCTGTGGAAGCCATTTTTGAGAGAGAGAGAGTGAGAGCGAGACGCTGCTCTGGAAGAAGATGAAACCTCGCTTAAACCTTTCTGTTGTCCATTTTCGGGATATTTTACCCAACAAAAATAAAGTACGTTAATATTTTGGTGGCAAAAAAAAAAAAAAAAAAGTCCGCCCAATACCTTTAGAAGCCCAAAAGGCCCACGCACCGATAATTTGAAAAGCTCAAAAGGCCCATATTCCATACATGCGGACTGGGCCCAGACTTGAAGTCAACAAACATAATATGAGGACATGTTTGAGAAGCATTAGTTCGAACGAAGTTTCCCACGATTTAATGATTACTCTACTTAACCATCTGTACAAAGATTAGTCGAGTAATTAACGTCTTAATCAAATCTGGCTTTGTCTAAAACCAGACCGAACTCCATTAACCAACTTGCTTGTGTGCCAACCACCGAGACAGATTTGATGGTCGTTGCTACTTTCCGATCAGGTAAAGTTTGGAACTCGGGGTACTTGAGTTACAAGCTTTGTCTAAAACCTCATACTACAAATGCTTCAAAGAATGTCTTTGATCACTCATAAAATCAGTAGGTCTAGCGACACTCGTCTTCGCTTGGTTTGAAGTACATGATTCAGCTCACATGAATGCGAGGATAATATATACATTGAGTTCGATATTAAGGTGTGGCTGAATTTATAAGCACATATCTTTGTATATATTTTGACACAAGAAGAGAGAGAGATATATATCAACATAACTTTTTTATAAATTTTCAACAAAAAATTAAAAAAAATCACCAAAAAGACACTAGTTAAAACATGTTTTTATTGGCTGTTAAGTGGCGTTTTAGTCAAAATTGGTTAAGGTTGTTTGGACATGTAAATCGAAGACTTACAGATGCTCCGGTTAGAAAATGCGATTATGAGACAGAGGTCAAGGCAAAACGGGTAGAGGAAAAACTAGAAAGACTTAGAAAGAGACTTTAAGAAAAAACATGGAATTCTTGGAGCTAACAGAAGATCTGTCACAAAATTGAATGCGATGGCGTTCTAGGATTCATACAGTCGACCCCACTTAGTGAGAAAAGGCTTGTTGTTGTTGTACTAAAGTTATGTGTTTCTATGTATGTATTAATATCATATACCCTTTGATGTCGTCGAACCAAGTGAAAAATATGCTTAAACAGGTAGTTTGTGTACGGCTTCTTGTCTGTTTAGTCTAGTTACCACGCTGGTTGCATATTTGTAGAAACTTTTGAGTTGTTTATTTGTGTTGGTGGCATCCTGCTGCCTGCGTGTTAAATATGCTGTATAAATGCATCACCCAAACACGTACTTAACACATCAGCTTCCCTTGAGCGTGCTCATTAACCAATATTATCTTTCCCGCCACAGCACACAATCCACTAATCCAACAACATAATATATAATTAGTAGACAATTACCTGACCAAATTAAGCATAAAATAATATGGTTAGGCCTCCTGCTGCTGACATGGACTGCATTACTGCTCTAAGCGCGGCTTTAACGTTGCTTACTTGTCATGTTACACGCTCGGCATTTGTATGAACGCGATTGGTGGGATCGAAAGTCAAAGATCGCCAGCGCCAAACGTACGTCCACGCCTTCAACGGCAGTTAGTTCAAAATTTCCTGGCATTTGCAAATTGCTTACTTATTGGCATTGGAAGTGTCCAAGCTTTTACATTATCTTGTTCTTAAGTTCATGCAGCTTGTGCATGCTTCTCTTGATTTACTCTCTCTGTACTTTCTGATCACTTTGTTTTCTCCAATTTCTTCGAAACTTTTAGCTCGAAGAAGATTGACGTGATCATGATATGTTTTCAAAGATTTTCCGTGTTCAATCTTCTCTGTTTGATCATTTTGTTGGATGCGGTTTTATCCCAAGAAAATGCTCAAACAATGAGGGACAAGGCATCCTTGCTTTCTTTCAGGGAAGGGATTGTTTCAGACCCCCACCGCACTTTGGAGGACTGGAATTCTTGGGGTGTTCATGTTTGTAATTGGTCAGGCATCAAGTGTAACAAAGCTAGAGACCGCGTCGTGGAGCTTGATCTTAGTGGAAAGGCACTCGGAGGCACCATTTCCCCGTCTCTCGCTAATCTTTCTTCCTTGCACATTCTTGATTTGTCAAGCAACTTTTTTGAAGGTCGCATCCCACCCGAGTTGGGCTCTCTTTCCCTACTTGAACAACTCAGCTTATCTTCTAATCTTCTCGAAGGAAGAATTGCTGCTGAACTTGGTTTTCTTCGCAAAATAGTATATCTTGATTTGGGAAGCAACCGGCTCACTGGTGGAATCCCAATGCCGCTTTTCTGCAATCATTCTTCGTCCTCTCTGCAGTACATAGACCTCTCTAACAATTCTTTAAGCGGCGAAATTCCTTTGAAAGATGGATGTGAGCTTAAACAACTGAGGTTTCTTCTGTTGTGGTCCAACCGTCTAGTTGGACAGGTTCCTGCAGCCATGTCGAACTCCTCAAAACTTAAATGGATCGATTTGGAGTCTAACATGCTGAGTGGGGAGTTGCCATCGGAGATTATACAAAAACTGCCTAAACTGCAGTACCTCTACTTGTCCTACAATCGCTTTATGAGCCATGACGGTAACACTAACCTTGAACCTTTTTTCTCCTCTTTGGTTAATGCCTCTAACTTTCAAGAGCTTGAATTAGCTGGAAATAATCTTGGAGGAGATTTACCTCCTATTATTGGTAATCTTTCTACCAATCTTGTACAGCTCCACTTAGATGCTAATCGCATTTATGGTTCAATTCCTCCTCACATTTCAAATCTTGTCAACCTCACCCTGTTGAATTTGTCTAGTAACCTTCTAAATGGAACCATCCCGCCCAAACTGTGCCGAATGACAATGCTAGAGAGGGTGTTTTTGTCAAACAATTCACTCTCCGGTGAGATTCCATCCGCCTTTGGTGACATTCCCCATCTAGGCCTTCTAGATTTATCGAAAAATAAGCTTTCCGGTTCCATTCCAGATAGTTTTGCAAATCTTTTCCAGTTAAGAAGGCTCCTGCTTTATGAAAACCAACTCTCGGGGACTATACCACCGAGCCTAGGGAAGTGCATCAATTTAGAGATTCTAGACCTTTCTCACAACCAAATTTCTGGAGTGATTCCGAGTGAAGTTGCAGGGCTGAGGAGCTTGAAGTTGTACTTGAACCTGTCTAGCAATCACTTGCATGGATTGTTACCGATGGAGTTGAGCAAAATGGACATGGTGCTAGCAGTTGACCTATCTTCCAACAATCTTTCCGGCACAATCCCATCACAACTTGGGAGCTGCATTGCCCTTGAGTACCTCAACCTTTCTGCGAATTCCTTAGAAGGCTCTCTACCGGATTCAATAGGAAAGTTGCCTTATCTTCAAAGTCTTGATGTATCCTCGAACCAACTAAATGGAGAAATACCAGAATCTCTGCAGGAATCATTAACTCTGAAGAAACTCAACTTCTCTTTCAACAACTTCTCTGGGAATGTATCAAGCAATGGGGCCTTTTCTTCGCTGACTATAGACTCTTTCCTCGGAAATCCTGGTCTCTGTGGATCAATAAAGGGCATGTCACACTGCCGGAAGAAGCGTACTCATCATTTGGCTATTCTGTCAATTATCTTGTCATTACTTATCACCCCCATATTTTGTGTATTCGGGTACCCCCTCATGCACAGGTCGAAATTCCAAAGGCACCAGGCAGTTTTCGATCAAGAGGAATTGGGGGATGATGAAGAAGAAGGGAAGAAAGAACACAAGTACCCGAGAATCTCTTACGACCAGCTCATTGAAGCCACTGGCGGTTTCAGCCCTTCGAGCCTGATTGGTTCAGGCCGGTTTGGGCATGTCTATAAGGGTGTCCTCCAAGACAACTCAGTAATTGCTGTGAAGGTATTGGATTTGAAAACGGATGAAGAGATCTTAGGAAGCTTCAAAAGGGAATGCAGAGTTCTGAAGAGGACTAGGCACAGAAATTTGATCAGAATCATCACGGCGTGTAGTAGGCCGGACTTTAAGGCTCTTGTTCTGCCATTGATGTCAAATGGGAGCCTCGAGAGGCATCTATACTCAAACCATGGACTGAGCGTTCGGTTGAATTTGATTCAGTTGGTAAGCATCTGCAGTGACGTAGCTGAAGCCATGTCCTATTTACATCACCATTCTCCTGTTAGAGTTGTACACTGTGATCTCAAACCGAGCAACATTCTACTAGATGAGGACATGACGGCGTTGGTAACTGATTTTGGAATTGCGAGATTGGTGAAGGGCGATGATGGGAATGTTCCAACGAATGATTCAGCATCCTTCAGTTCAGCAGATGGCTTTTTATGCGGATCCATTGGCTACATTGCTCCTGGTACGTATTTTCTAATATGTACAAATTTGAAAGTGATTTCCGCACACTTTTTTTAATACGTACTAATTTCCTTCATTTACTTGATGAAATGCAGAGTATGCATTGGGAAAAACCATTTCTACTGAGGGAGACGTGTTCAGCTTCGGGGTCCTTTTGCTAGAAATCGTTACAGGAAGGCGACCAACGGATGTCCTTGCTCACGAAGGTTCAACTCTTCATGAATGGGTGAAAAGGCAGTACCTGCACAGGCTCGATCCAATAGTTCAACAAGCGCTCGATAGGTGCGCTGCTGATTCGATGCCTAAACAGTACAACAAAGTCTGGAGGGATGTTGTTTTGGAACTGATTGAGCTTGGTCTGATGTGCACTCGGTACACTCCTTCATTGAGACCTAATATGCAGGACGTAGCTCACGAAATCGGTCGGTTGAAGGATTACATCTCCAATCCTTCATCGTTTCTGATTGAAGAAATTGATCTTAAAGTTGAAGCACCCTAGTTTTGATCTTTCATCATATGTGATTATTGAAGTCATTTGTTTAAATTTTTTTGGTAAAACGCAGGCAGCAAACGGCAAAAAGATGTGTGCAGAAATCACTTCCTTATTATGAAACAAGCTCTTCTTAGGGGGAATCCCTTTTAACTGAAACGCTCCAGCTATATTTCTTGATATTATTCTCGTTAGAGTAGAGTGGAATTCATATATTTGCAATGTATTAACAACGTATCAACGGCTATATGAATGACATATGTATAGTTGATATATTTTTATATTTTTATTTTGTTCTGAATATGTTGTCGATATGAATCCCGCTCCAAGTGGTGTCATGAGAGTTAGGGTTTAGGCGGAATCCCTTCAACTGAAGCGCTCCAGCTATAGTTGTCAATACAATTCTTGTTAGAGTGGAGTGGAATTCATATGTCAGCAATGTATCATCAACATATCAATATATATATTTTTACAGTTTTGTTTCGTTCTAAATATATTGTCGATATGACTTTCGCTCTAAGCGATGTCATGAGAGTCAGCAAAAAGTAACAATCCGCTAAAGCAAAGCTTCTTTTCACTAGTGAACAGATTAATGATGAGCATCCTAGCTACCTTTTTATTGATGGCTAATCTCTGAAGTGAGAACCAACCAAAGACAGCCTTTGTTGCTTATCACTTTAATGGAGTTTAGTTCATCAAATCAATAATTATGATTGCGTATCATGGATCATAATTCTTTTTTTCTTTTTTTTCAAAATATAATCTTCTTCTTGTGGCAACCAACGCAGACAGATTTTGATATCCACAGTCCAAAAAGGCATATCCTTCTCTTTCTCCCTACCCTTCGTATGCAATTTGCCCACTTAACACAAGAGTTTTACTATTTAAACACGGAATTTCATTTATGTTTACCCCGTTACTTGGGAACCACATTTAGAGATGGAGCCATGAAGGGACTATGGTTTCAAGCTCACCTGACATTTTTTCACGCATAAAAGTTTAGTGTTATTCTTATGATGTTCAAGGTTTTTTCTTAAGCTCATGGTTCTAATCTGACGTTTTTAGTTTAATTTCTTTCGTCGAGTTTGATTTGAGGTTAGTGGCTCTTATAGAGTTCGAGCAAGTAAGAGAATCAGAGAGGCTTGGGGTTTAGGTTTAAAGAAGAGGATGATGAGGATGACATTAAAGCAGACTCAAACTATAGTGGTCGGTTGCTCATCACACGGCAAAGTAATTTTTGTAAGATTATAAGAGTTTCAAATTGAGACTTTTGGGCTTCTTCTAGCCTAAAATTCTAGCTCCGCCACTGACCACAGCCCGCATGGTAATATTACAATCGGCAACTTCTTGCCGAACAAAAGTTATTAAATCAACCAAACAGGGCCGAATGATTAATTATATTTATCAGTAGCGTTTTCGTTGCTGCATTTTGTCCCTCGAAATGTTACTGATAAAACTATGAACTGATCAGTTATTAATTGAAAACTCAAGATTAACAGCGTTGCATCGAGCATCATCTTGTTCGAGAATTGACCACTCTGCGTTTTCCTTCGATGATCTTCCCCGTCCCAATCGAGAAAAGTTTAGGTAACAGTCCATGAGAGAGCCTACATCATACTCTCATCATCACTTCAAAATATTTCATATATAAAACTTTGCTGAGTCTGAGTCGATATGCACTTCATTTGTGCTCTATTCAATTGTATCACGTACTCTGCGGCACAATTTCTACATAAAATGTACCAGGTAAGGACTTCAATCGTTTTCCTTCGATCAGAACTGCACTAACTTTTCACCTGATTACAGATACTGTTGCGGAAAGCAAGAACTTCAGTCGCTTTCTTTTCGCTAGCTACTCTTTTGGTCGATTTTCGCTAACTAGTTAATAGCTCTATATATTCAAAAGAAGCTTTAGGGGGTAGGGACAAAGGATGATAAAACACAGTGCTCGTTCCACTTGCAATAAAGAATTAAAAGAGGAAGGGCATCAGTATGGTGCTCCAAGATTATGACTTCCATAGCCAAAACCTTACTTCAAGTATCGCTCTGTTTTCGTGTGACATCCAAAGATACCTACCCTCACTATCTGCAAGTGAAACTCCTGTCTATCTTTCAATAACTTAACTCTGCAGTCGCTATAACACTGTCACATTAGAACTTAAAAATGCATTTTGGACTTAAATATGCAATACGTAATCTAGTAAACAAGAACGTGAAATTCTGCACTTATTAGCAAAACTGTGAATCAATATAATGCCAGAGTATGCGTCTTATTCTTCTTTTGACTACTCGTAAACTCGAAAACTCTGCTCCAGAATCCATCTTCCCTAATGTATATACTGCTTCAAACAATAGGAAGTTACGGAGTACTAACTAGTAACTACTATATTAGCAAAGAATTTACATGATATGCCATGCTGCGAGGAGCTATTTCGAATCTTTGCCACGTGATATAATTTAAGGGAAGCCCCTCCCAATTATTAGCAAGAGACCGAATTTAAGGACCCCAAAAATCATGAAATTCAACTTCTAAATCAAATCGTTCTTTGAGATGCTTAACGATTCACGGAGGAACAAGATAACAGACTGGAGTAACCTTTTTCCCTGAGTTCTTGGTCCTCATGAGAAAGCACCTCCTGCATTAGATTTCTCCAAATATAGTAGATTTAAATACCTTTCGGTCATATCCTTCCACTGTGGATGGGAAATGTCATAAGGTTTATGATAATACAGAAGTTTAATGTAGTTATGCTCAAAATTTTAAAATGTCATATACTTTTCTATATGGACGGAAAATGTAGAACACTGTATGTTTAGAAAGTACTCCTTCCGTATGTATATCACTTACAACCGGCATCTCAATTTCAAAATTATAAATGTACACGAAAGCATTCCGCTTACAATCCTACTAAGATGACAGTTTTTTTTCTTTTTTTGGGTGGTGGGGGGACAAGCTTAACCTTAATGTACAGATTGAAAACTTTACGTTGTGTATGTTATATGTACTTATGTCAAATCTAAGAATCTATCCACACAAACCACTGGAGAGTCAAGATAACCTTACGGAACAAGTTCATCAGCATCACCGGATTGCTTGATCAAAGCCAAAAGTGCAGCATTGCCTGTTCAATGAATTAGAGAAATGGAAACAAGTCATCAATCTCTGCAATCAAGGTGAAACAAGGTTCATGCCGAAAGGAAAATGCAAGAAAATCATACCTCCATAACATTGTGCAAGGGCTCATCATCCTGTGGAGAGGGTTTCTTAGGCTTCCAACTACGCATGTCACACTGTATTAAATTAAGATGCTCATGTATCTCCCGGAACAGCTTCAACTCCTGTTCTCCCGCATGACTAATTTCTTGCCTTATATTATTCCTCTCTCCCTCCAGACGCTCTATCCTCCTCCACAACTGTTGAAATTTTGCTTGCTGAGATTCAGTAACGCCACCACTCACCCCTCTCTCTCTCAGATTCGAGTCAACACTACTTATCCCATCTCTTGGTGTAGGTATTTTGTTCTCCTGCTTCTTGATATGCAACATTTTCTTTACCCTATCTGTTTCATCTCTAACATATGCTTCACTCTTCTCATCCATCACCAGATGCGGCTTACCAAGCCTGTTCTCGACTTCCAGAGTCAATGTATTAAGTTCTTTCTTCTCTCCTTCACCGGCTTTATGATTCTCATAACTTTGTGGGACTTCGAAAACATCATGGACTCTTGAGGAGCATGAAGGGCCATCCCTTCCCGGTAGATTCTCACTCTGCTTAAGTTGATCCAAACTAGCAATCATTTCTTCACTGGCTGGCTCATTTTTTGGGCTTATGCTTATCTTTGGAATTGGAGGCAATGAACAAGTCCTGGATGGAGGACCCTTCCAGAGTGCAGATTTGCCATAATCCTTACAATCGGATATCTCCTTCACTCGTGCGTCTAACTTCTTAATCTGCTCCCAGATAATATTCATGTTCCCACCTGCATAATTTGGTGATTTCTTCTCGACATCTACGCTCTGGACATTGACTTCCTGATCCACCTTCTTCTCCTGTTTTTTTGTTGCAGGTTCGGGTTTGGGGATCATTGGTCTGTCTCTTTCTCGTTCTCTTTCTTTATCTCTGTCTTTATCTCTATCTCTTTCCACAGTGCTTTTGAGCAATTCCTTGAGCTCAAGTGGAGGTAGAGAGTTGATTCTTCTAATAGCCTCGCTAACACCCGTTTCCCCATTGCCAAAATCACCTCGAGAGTTGATTCTTCTAATCGTCCCACTAACACCCCCTTCCCCACTTCCGTAATCATTTCTTTGAAACAACAAATTCTCCGGATATACATTTTCACCAGCGCCTAGCTCCGTGCTGCAGCCCATGCTTAAAAGCTTGTACCTATAAGCCTGAAGTTGGAACTCAAGCGAAGCAGTTTCCATTTCTTTCTGATAAATGAGGTCTTCGAAAATGGCAAGAGCTTCCTCGGCATGGCAGATCTTTTCCTCCGCCAATCTCTTGTATTGATTTGCTTCCATCTTCATAGCGGACTTTTCTCCTTGCAAACGCAGTATCATGGATAGAGCTTCATCAGCTGCAGTAGATGATGCTTCTCTTTCCTTATCCAGATCAGAGTAAAGCTTTTGCAGTAGTTGTTGTTGTGCTCTAAGCGCTTCGGTTAGCGTTATCATATCAGTTTCAGGCATTCCACAAGGCACACCACCCTCCGCCATCTCGGTTATATGGCAAAATTCGGACTTCTAGAAAGAACAGAGCTATGCAAAATTATCAGTGTTTACTTCAAATTCACATATGCAGTAACAAACTTAAACTCCACTTGATATTCCTAATCTAAGAACTTGAAAACCGCAGAAACAACACACACAAAGGAACCAAGAAGCAAAGACGGATTACCTGATGCTGCGCAAAAGGCGAAAACTTGATCTTCACAAAACCCAGTTGAGAAAAATCACTGCGGAAAGATTCAACCATGTCAGAATTTCTTCTTTTACAACGTCAAAAAAGGAAAATAAATAAATAAAATCAAATTAAAACTTACAAGAAACCTGTTTCTGCAGAACAACGAATTAAAATGAAGCCAGAAACGAAGAATTCTCTATGGTTTGACGAAATGACATGAAACCTATCCGCGCTTTTCGTTAAGGAACAAGCGCAGAAACAAATCCACCTTCTTTTACTCTGCAATCAAGGAGAAAACGCGGAACATCAACAAAACGCCGCGAGTGATTAATTCGAATCTTCCCAAGTTCAATTAGGTTCTTCATTCGTCCAGACTAGAAGCATGTACGCGTTTAGGATTGAATGCAAGCACAAAAAAATGGCTAACGTAAAAAAACACCTACCAAAAATCGAATCTTTGTTATTTTCCTTCCTTATAAAGCAGGAGCATCAGCAGCTGAAGCATTCATTTGGACGTGTTCTGAAACAGAAAGCATTGATTAAGGTTAAACAAAACTGTCGTTACCTTTGTTTCCACGAAGGGTGAATCGTACGACAACATCGGCAAACACAAAATCTATATCCTTTCCTACCAACCAAATAGATCAAACCAGAAACGATGTCGTCTTACCTTCTCTCCCGGCGATTAGAGCTTCCCACCAATTTCGATCACTGTCTCAAAAGACTAGTAATCTAAATCTTAATCCAAATTAATTTCTTCTTAATCATTACGAAGTGGGGCCGCTTCTCTTCCTTTTCTCCCGCTACCGTTATTGAAGGGTCCTTCAATATTTCAAAAGTCGTTAGTAACTGGTTCAACGGCTATAAATTATACAAGATGGCAGCAGGGTCCTAGATATTGCCAGACACACCGACCACCTGAAATATTTATATAGCAACTCGGGACGGGAATTGGGAATCCGGATCCTCGTCGGATCCTCTTTGTGAGGATTCAAGAATCAGATAATCATATATGTTCATCGTACATCGTGCAGTCAGAAATCATATTAAATATTTTTATTTAAAATTAAACAGAAACAGTACTTGATAAAAAATGATCACACGATGTACGATGAACGAACACGATTCACGAATTCTCATGATCCTCGTTAAAATGATCCGGAAATGATTCTGTTGGGGAAATTGGGACGTCAAGGTGGCAGTATCCAAGCCAAGCTGGCTTGTTAACTCTATTTCTTCTTTTTTCCCCTTTTGGCTAATTCCTTATCCTTGTGGATGGGTCAACCATACTGATATACTATTTTAGCAATCATGATTTATGAAGAATCCAATGGGCATGATGATAGTAAACCCAGCCTGGAACACACCCCGGAATTTTAGTACACATTACATTTAATAAATCTTCAGTGTTTTTTAGAGAAATGACTTACATGTAATCGATCACAATGACATTCAAAATATAATAAAATAACTTCATAGCATGAAATTGTGCGAAAATTTCCGCTGAGTGCATGTAAGTCTCTTTTCCGGTTTGCATTTGGTTTAAAATCATTGAAAGGGAAATTAATGATATAAGAAAAAGCTAGCAGGTGGTCCATTTATTTGCTTGTGATTTTGAATTTGTTAGTTATCCACATGATACATCACCTCCTTATTAAAGATGGCAGGATGGGATCATAAAGAGAGAAAAGGATGCACGAGCAGAAATAATTAAGAATAGAGTAAATTGTAGCAATAGTCCCTCAGCTTTAATTAAATTGGAGCAATGGTCCCTCAACTAAAAATTCATTACCATTGGTCCCTCAACTTATCAAAATGTGTAGCTATAGTCATTTTCATCAATTTCGTCAAAATTTTGTCAAAATAAGTTGTGTTGGAATAACCATTTATATAATTAGGATCCTTCAACTCATCAAAGTGTGTAATTATGGTCATTTTCGTCAACTAAGTCAAATTTTTTGTCAAAACGAGTTATGTTAGAAGGACCATTGCAACAATTGGGTTAAAGTTAAAGGACTATTTCTCCAGTTGAATTAAAGTTGAGAGACCAATGTTAATAAATTTTTAATTGATGGACCATAGCTACACATTTTGATGAGTTGAGGGACCAATGATAATGGATTTTTAGTTGAGGGACCATTGCTTCAATTGAGTTAAAGTTATGAGACCATAGCTACAATTTACTCTTAAGAACAATAACATCTGAAAGGACACTTGAACTAATGTCAAACACAAATGAAAATAGCTTTTTAGCCAAAATAGTATTTGAGATTGGCATAACTCCTCATTTTGATCCATGACAATGAAAATCTATAGAAGTGGTTGTCCGCTGGAAATTATTTTGGTCATTCTGTGAAAATTTTGTCAATATCCTTGTTAAGTGGAAGGGTTTGTTTGACAACAATACCCTTAAAAGTTGGACACTCATCGTTCAATTGACATTTAACGAGGATATTGACATTATTTTCATGAAAGGACCAAAGTGATTTAAAGTGGTCAAACTCATGGCCCAACTTCTATCAATTGTCATTGTCAGGGACCAAAGTAAAGTTATGTCAATCTTAATGACCATTTTAGATAAAAAGCCAACGAAAATTGATGAAAGAAGACGAAGAATATAAGCATGGTTAGCTAGTTATAATGAATGGTGGACATGGATGATGGATTTGAATACCGGTGCCATGCAAGATGCATCTGGAAAAAGATAACACACAGATACGATCATTAGCCCTGGTATTCTCAGACACTCACAAGAACCAAATACTCCAATGGTGAAGTTGATAACATTCGTATATGAAGCGAAGCTGTCTATAAATTACGTTATTCAACAAGCAGAAGGCTCAAAGCCATGTAATAGATAACTTCTAAGAAATACATTGTGCTACTGTTCAACAAATCAGTTGGCAAAATGAGCAATGCCACTCCACTTAGACACTACTTACAAGGAAACAAAGAGCGTGTTGTGCCTCTGCTTTTGGCCCCGAGAAACCTAGCTCTGAGATCCATCAATGTCATTTCAATCCACAGGAACCTCGACCTCCATCTTCAATTCAGAGTTGCCAAGAGTCTGTACACAACGCGGAACAAAGTTTGACATCATTTTCTTATTTTCGGCATTCATATTATGCTTTCTACAAATTTTATTGCTTAAACTGAATTTCAATGCACGTAATGTTTGCAAAAGTATTAACTATTCTGATTAGAGAAGAACCAGGAACGAATGGACAATTAATTTACTTTACACTCTTCGGTATGTCCCAGAGTATAGGAGTATCAAGAAGAATACAACGTGTTCAAAGAAAAGCAAACCAGAATGAAAACAAAACATCTCAACTTCTTGAGATATTAAACCTTCAAGCCATTCTATCACAGCGCTAACCTTTATCACATGTATGCTGGACCCAACAAAAGTGTGATTTTTAGTGAAGATAACTTACGAACTTGGGAAAAAATTCTGGGGGCATCCATCCCCATGAGGAAAATGAAGCTATGGTTACATGAAAATAGTAAAATATTGTTTCCAAAAGGCAAACAAAATCATACTAACCAGACCAGTTTTATATCTATAATAATGTGCACCAACTACAACAGAGAACTCATTATGTTGCGGTACCTTCACAAAGTCCGATATGCTTAACAATGAATCCTTTGTATAGCCTGATTCCTCTAGGACATGCGTCAATACTTGCTGTAGAAAAATAAACCGAATAAGCACAATATCGAACACACAAATACTCACAGTTCCAGAACAGATAATTCCATTAATCTTGTACAAAGAAAAGCTGAAGTCGAGTTTTCAATCAAAAGTCCTCTTTTTTAATAAGAAAACCAATACATGGTCATTTGAAAAACTAGGTCTCAAAGAACATACTTTCATGAAGGTAATACAAAGAGCACATTCCGATTTATGATTATAAGCATTTTCCCCCTTTTTTTGCCTACAAACCAAGTGTCACGTCCGTTTGAAATGAGAAATCCTAGATTAAAACCCAGATTATGTTTTAATTGGTAACTTTAAAACAGATGGTGAATGGCTCTATACCAGGTTACTGAACATAGTCGAGATAAACATATCTGTGATGGGAAAATCTTGTTTGAGACGCTTCACAAAGATAATTTTTTGAACATGAACTAAAGTGCCCCAAGCCTCATTCCAAAGCCCGAAGGAAAGCATTCCAGAGTTTACAAAGAAAGGTTTATAATGTTGCATAATGCACTTTTGAGAAATGTGCTTAAGCACCCGTGCAATTACCAAGAACTCAATGTAAACATGAATAGTGAAAAGTTAGTAATTTTCCATTCAAAGGTTCTAACTTTAACATGGATTGTGAGAGAACCAACCTCCCTCTGTTGCTCAGATATGAACTGCCCCGTCAAATCCCGCAAAACATCCAACATGTCGCTGAATGCGACTTTCCCATTACCGTCTGAATCATATACCTTAAAAATAACTGCAAAACAGATATACACCCCAAACTGCAACTCAGAAATAAGACAACAAATCAAGCAAGCTCATAGCAGCCAATATACTCCTAATACCGAAATTACTAATGAAGAAATTATTACACTCGATTTTTTGCTGCAAGCTTGCACGAGAACTGAATGCTGATAAGAACAATACGAACTCCTTAAAGTTCAATCCATCCAATATCTTCAGCAATCTCTGAAATATGAATTTTAATAAATTTACATTAAAAAATGTGAAAAGAAAGCTTCAATCTTAGAGGGAGAGAGAGAGAAAGAGAGATTACCTGAGAGAGAGGATTGACGGCGAATTCGGGAACGGACAAGAACTCATCGGCGGAGATAAAACCTCCGCCGCTGCGATCGAGCTGACAGAACCGCTGGTACAGAGAAACTATCTCCTGCTGGGAAACTTGAAACACGAGACGCACAAATCGAATCGAATCAAAACGAATCAAATCAAACCAAACAGCTCACAAACATAAAAGAGTTAAGAAACGTTTACATGTGTTGTTACAGTGCTCCTGGACTTCTTCGATGTCGTACTGCGTGAGCATCGAGGATGTGTTGCCCATGTCGGCGGTGGCGAGGACGAGACGAGATCAGGTGGGGTATTGTCTACGGGAAACTGAGGAAAGAAAGCCCTAACGAGCAGCGGAGATAACAAGGCGCTTGTAAAGCCGCCGCCTTTGCAGGGAGGGACAGGCTACAAAGGTTGTTGGAGCTAACTCTTCGCTCGCACGCAGCGTGTTTGAATAAGATGTAGTTAAATATGACGACACGGGAGAAACTGAAAAGTTATAAAAGTTAAGGGGAAAATTGATTAAAATAAAGTTTGTAGGGGCCAAGTCGCCAATTCGTTACAAGTTCGGCGGCAAATCGCGGAATATATTTTGTTTTGCGGTCAAGAAAGGAACCGGATCCCTCCGGACCAAAGGAACTGAGCCACCGGATTAAATGATCCGGACCATTGAAATTTGATCTAACAGTTACAAATAAAGAATCATTCTAAAAGTTATAATAATTGTAACAATTTGATCAAATTTCAATGGTTCGGATCATTTGATCCTTGAGCTCTGTTCTTTGGATTTGGAGGGGATCCGGTTTCGTCAACGAATATTTGTTAAGAATTTTAACGAAAAACTCACGTTATTATTTATTTTAACGAAAAACTACATTTTTATACTAAAAAATCAAACCTACTACTATTCACTTTACCCCCTATCTTATTATCTTATTGTTAAAACTCAAGATTTTTATTAGCGTTCTTACTTTGTTTTCTCCAGCCCGTGAGCTAGCACCTGCCGCTACCACTCCCTCATAACTCAGCCGCTCTCAACCCGAGAATCGCCCTGAACGGCGGATAAGTCTGAGCCAGCATCCAAACACACAAAACAGTCGCCAGACGTTGTAGCAGGACCTGATTCGCGCGCAGGGACGGCGGAAGAAAGAGGCTCAGGTTGATTTCCGCGCGCAGATTTTGGCCGGCAAATCAACTCACCGCTCCCAGGTGGCTTATATCTGAATTGCAAACAATTCATAGGTTAAATCTCATGTTCATAGTAAATGCAGATGCCCAGATTAATTTTTCGATAAATAAAAAGGAAAACTTTGGTGTTTGTGTAGCCTGTTGGGTAAAATTAAATGCTGCCCAGTTTCGAATTTTCTGGAAAACAAGTAGGATTCAATTGCAATTGAAGAATTATGAAATAAAGTAGCTACCTTTGTTGTTGAATTGTTCAATTTGTGATTGATGCATATGGATTTTCTAGCATGTACACCGGAGCATGGTAGAATTTTCCCGATGCTAACATCGACATATCATATATTTAACTGGATTTTTTGGGCAGGTTAGTAACGAGAGAAATACTGATTCCTGCGTGTGTTCGGTTCGGAGTTGAAGAATGGTGTGTACATACATGATCCACTCTGTCTCCTTTTTATCATTACATTGTAATTGTTGGCATATATGGATGAGAACATTAAGTTAACGAAGGAATGAATAAATCCTGCAAACATAATCGCTATATTGTAAGGAGATCGTGGTTAAAGGAAACTCAGGGGTTCGTTTTGATCATCTAGTCGAAATTCATTTGGTTATTATCATATCAATATAGGTTGGAACAATGACAATTTGCAAAAGAACCTGTGACCATGACTCCTCCGAGTGGAGGAAGCAAAAGTAGGCGACTTATGGAACATGATATAGTGTGTCCTCCTTTAAGTAGTTTCTTGTGTAAAGCCATGTCATGTTGTCGGGTGCTCGTTGCACATATGAACTTCTTGAAACTGCCTTGGGTGTATATTGAAGCTTCCGTTTCATAAATGACCAAATTGAGAACATAATCTGAGGTTTTAGGACACAATTCGGATTATGACTGCCAAAACTGTAAGTGTGTATATCTGAAACCTTGAAGCCTTTGAGATATGGGTTCGATGCTAAGTTGCGTTTTGGTCATATTTGTGCACGGAGATTCAACCTATCTATTGTGATTTCTTTGATCAAAGTGCATCTAGAACTTGAAAAAAAGGGATTGTTGAAATTGTGTGTGGCCTTTATATGGTGTTCATTTTAGCTGTTCCATAGGTTTGATATTAAGAAATTTGTATGGAATACAAGACTAAGAAATGCGCTATTTGTTTGTTTGTGTTTCAGGCCATGTATATTCGTGTTAAGCGTAGTAAGACAACTTACTTTATCCAGTGTGAACCAACTGAAACAAGTTTAGATATAAAGCAGAAATTACATGATCTTATTGATCGACCGGTAAATGACCAGCGCTTGATCTTAGTCAGTACTGGGGAAGTATTGGAGGATTCAAAGGCGTTGGCGGATCAGAAGGTATGAAACAAAAATTATTGCAGTTCTCTCCCTTTTACTTGAACATAGAGATTACTACAATTAATTTCATCAGATAGATACTGATCCGTTGAGCTACAATTATTTGATATCTGCAATTATGTTTTCATGTCTGTTCAGGTTGAAAATGACGCCGTTGTTGCACTGGCTTTCAGAAAAGGCGAGTCTCTTATCCTGTTGTTTTTCAGTTCTCACCTTACGTTTAAGCTTATATTTGGCATTTCTATTTTGTTCGCGGGGTTGTTAGCAGTTGATATGGATTTATCTTACGCTTGCTTTGGGCCAGCCTGATAAAAAAAATTCTTCGATTTCCTCCAGATGACAATGAGTTTGAAGAGGTCAACATTGTTCGGCCAGACGACTTCTATCCGTCTCGTGATGCAGATGCAGGCAGTTGGTGAAGCCGGAAGTTTTCCTCCAGAAAAGCTAACCAGCTGCAATCCAGCCTGCAACATTTCGAGTGTAGGTCTAGCTATCGACATCAATGGAGGCCGAAGTCCATCTGCTTCGATCGTTTCCTACTCGTGCTCAGATCTTTAGGACAATAATATTTAGGGGTACTTTGATCTAGGTCCAAAAATTCGATTTGTTATTGGATTTAGTCCAGTGTTCCATTTTTCTACTTTAATTAAACTTCTTGATTTATCCATCTCTATTCGCATTTTTAATTTGAATATTTAAATATAAAAGATTTAACTGCTTTATGAAAAATAGTTAAAAGTCTTTACGTCTTTCATATGTGATACTTACACCATAGATTGAATAAATACATTCAACATGTGATGGAGATAGAATATACAAAAATAAATAAAATTTAAGGAAAACTAATGAAAAAGATTTGAAAACTTTAAGTTTAAACGATAAGGGCAAAATAAAGGGTAAAGTAAATAATACCATGATTGACATTTTAGTGTAAAAATCTGGTTTTTCGTTAAAATAAACAGTGCCGAGAGTTTTTCGTTAAAATTTCCTAAAATTAATCTGCCTGCCGTCCATGAAAATTGGTCCAAAAAAATTTAGTCTTCATACATTTATAAATCCTTATATTTAATTCAAAATTAAGTTAAAGATTATTCTATAAATAAGAGTTAATTTTCATCAACGACTTTTTTGGGCTTGGCCCTTTTTCCCATTGGGCCCTGAGACAAAGATTTGCGACCCAAACGGCATGTCGCATCACGGGAAATTTGCCTCCTTATCCCAAACCAGAAGCTCGCTCACTGGTCAGGAAGCGCGAAACACTCCGGCCTCCACAGCTGAGTCGAAAAGCCATGTCCCTCCTTCCCTCCACCTCCAAGCTTTGCTCTTTCCACCCTCCAAACTCTATCCCTACCCGCGTACTCCCTTATCCTCGTCCCCAAACACTCCGAATCCTCGGCGCCAAGAGGGCCGGCAAGCGGAGGTACCCGTCGGAGAAGAAGGAGCTGAAACTGAAGCATAAGGAAATCGCAGGGGACGTCAAGAACAAGTACGAGGGCATCTGGAGGCTGTCCAAGCTCGGCGTCTCCGTCGACAAGGACCCGGGAAAGGACTTTCTCGGCGTCTCCGATGGCTTGCTCGAACAGATTGCCAAAGTACTCGAATTTCCGGTAATTTTATCCGGCGGCACTTTATGTCAAGCATTTTTGTTCAAGTTTTCACATTTTTTTAATCTTCGTCTCTTGTTTTTCGTTTCAGGTTCCTTCGATGCTGCCGACGGAGGCGTTCACGGTGGTTCGGAAATCTTTTGATGCAAGGAAGGTATGTTATGTTGTTTTGAATTTTGGTTTATCGTTGAAAGTTAGAGTCTTGGAAAAATGGCGATTCGCATCGCGTCTGTTCCATCTGTGAAATTGTTTCAAATGGTTATGGAAGAGTTGGGATCATTTCGATTTTGTTGCCGAGCAAGTAATCTGATTTTTTTGTTTATGTTCCCCCTGATTAATTTTTGTGTAGAGGCTGAAAGAACCGAAATTCGTATACATTGTGGAAATGGATGTCGACAAACTTCTGAGTCTCGAGCCTCGTGCTTGGGACTTCATTTCTGAGTTGGAGCCGAAAGTTGGGCTAGTAGAACACATGCCTGAAGCTAGAAAATCTGGAGATTTGATCAATATAATACAGGACTTTAAGAAAGTCCATCAAGGTATAGTTTCAAGAGGAAGTGGCAATAACAGGAGCAATGGGTCTGAAGGATCACACACGCATCCCACAGCTAAAAAACCAAAAATTGCGGTGGTGGGTAGTGGACCATCAGGGCTGTTTGCCGCCCTTGTTCTTGCAGAATTTGGTGCAGATGTTACGTTACTAGAAAGAGGTCAGCCCGTTGAACAGAGGGGCCGCGACATTGGCGCTCTGGTTGTCCGCCGGATGTTACAAACAGAAAGCAATTTTTGCTTTGGGGAGGTTATACTTATAACTTGATTCACATTGTTTTCCTGCTCGATAACTGCATGTGCCATTATGTTTTAAACACACACACCTCCCTCTGTATATATACGTCTATGTTTTACCATTGAGCCATTTATCGAGGACTTATTCATGGCAGGGTGGTGCAGGTACCTGGAGTGATGGAAAGCTGGTGACAAGGATTGGAAGAAACAGTGGCAGTGTTTTGGCGGTCAGAACCATTCTCTATCCTTTTGTTTGTCTTCTCTTTGTGTAATTTGGACAATGAAATACTGAGCTGTCACGGCATAAATAATAGACTACGTAGCATCTCTTTTCTTTTCTTCTAGGTGATTAGTATCATTTAAGCTATTACCTGACCTTATGTGAGTTGATTCAGATTTATTTACTTTTCAGGTTATGGAAACGTTAGTTCATTTTGGGGCTCCCGAAGGAATCTTGGTTGACGGAAAGCCTCATCTGGGAACAGATAGATTGGTTCCATTACTTCGCAATTTTCGGCAACATCTGCAACAGCTGGGTGTGAGTCACACATCTATTTTCTAGCTAAATCAAATGCATATTATTACATTTATGTTGCTTACCACTTCCATTTTGTATGTTCTTAGTAATTCTTTTTTTGGCATGTTCAGGTTACCATAAAGTTTGGGACTAGGGTAGACGATCTCCTTGTAGATAACGCACAAGTTGTAGGTGTCAGAGTTTCTGATTCGGCTGACAATAGTCAGAAATGGGGATATGATGCTGTTGTTCTAGCTGTTGGGCATTCTGCACGCGATTTTTATCAAACACTTCTATCTCATAACATAGACTTGATCCCGAAAGATTTTGCTGTGAGTTACTTTTCCTCCTCTTTCATATGGATCAATGGAACTTTGTTGTCCAGCTCTGTACGTATATATGGAGGCATAAATCCTCCGCATCAACGGGCCACTGTAGCCTTCTTACCCACATCATTTCCAATACTTTACCTTCCAGATTTCTGGCACTATTACCGTATGTAAAGATCACAGGAGATAAGCATGTGCACAGAAATAGTTTATATCATTAAATATTGTGTAGTTGGAGACTTGGGAGCAGCCTCTCCATAAAATGGGGGTAAGGCTAGCCGACAATCACCTCTCCCAGACCCTGCGTAAAGCGGGAGCCTTGTGCACTGGGTACGACCTTTTTATTAAATATTGTGTAGTTGGAGGAGTTACGTTCCTTGTTGCCAGAAGAATGTATCCATCTTTCCATATTTGTTTTCGAAATTATGTATGTCGTCTTTTTGGGTGAATAAAATGGCATGAATTACTGTGAAGCCACATTCCTTGGTATTAGTTGTAGTGCTAGAATCAATTCTTTGGTAGCTTGATAAAAACTTAACTTGGCTAACAGGTTGGCTTGCGTATTGAGCATCCTCAAGAAGTAGTAAACAGCTTACAGGTTAGTTACTTCTTAGCGTCATTTAAAAAAAAAAATTGGACGTGTTGTTATTAGGTTAAGTAAATTCTTTTATCACTCTTTATACCTATTTATTTATTTATTTTTTTCCTTATTACAAAAATGTAGTATTCTGGATTGGCAACTGAGGTTCGCAGAGGACGTGGTAAAGTGCCAGTGGCAGATTACAAGGTTGCCAAATATGTTAGTGGAAAGGATGGGGAAGAACCTTCAGGGGCAACAAGTCGTAGTTGCTATTCCTTTTGTATGTGTCCTGGTGGTCAGGTGCGTATTCTGTTTTCAAATTTCTTGATTTTTATTTCACCTGACTGAAAGTATTAGCTTCTTAGTGCACCAAGGGTGCAAAGTTTCGTATGTTTATTATCAACCAACAATTGGCTTCTTCTGGGTGGGGAATTATATAAACTTCAGAACCATGTTTGAATTTTAAATACCTAGTGAAGAATGATTGTCTATATTAGACTTAGAATCGCTAAAATGGTATTTTTCAGGTTGTTCTCACTAGTACAAATCCATCTGAAATCTGTATCAATGGCATGTCATTTTCTAAACGTGCGTCGAAGTGGGCAAATGCTGCACTTGTTGTAACAGTCTCAGCGAAAGATTTTGATGTTTTGAATCTCTGTGGACCTCTTGCTGGGGTTGAGTTTCAGGTAACTTTTTCTTTTGATTATATCTAGTGTTCCTTTTTCTGCAGTATCATATTTCTTTATTTACCTACCAACTGAATACAACTTTAAGATCGGCAATAGGATTCTCTAAGATAAAATACTAAAGCATTGTCGGACCAAAAAAATCCAAAAATCAGCTTATGATGTTATAATATTTTAGAGGGAATTTGAGCAAAGAGCAGCTAGAATGGGCGGGGGGAATTTTGTGGTGCCAGTGCAGACAGTTACGGATTTTATGGACAATAAGTTGTCAGGTAGAATTGTTATGCCATTTCTGGATTAGTTTTGCAATCATATGTTCAGCAAGCTAAGGTTTTGATTGTTTCTTCACTAGTGACTTCTGTGCCACCATCAAGTTATCGATTAGGAGTGAAGGCAGCAAATCTCCATGAGATTTTCCCCATTCATATAACAGAGACGTTGCAGCATTCACTCTCTGTGTTTGACAAAGAGGTGTTGCTTTTCTACTCTTGTTGTAACTTACCTTTATATTTATGATTAATGACAAACAATTACTGATCACAATTACTTGTCTCGGACTTTGGAGCTTTCAGTTACCAGGTTTTATATCCAAGGAGGCCCTTCTTCACGGAGTGGAGGTAATCCCAGTATTTAATATTTGTTTTAACTTTTAGTTTCTTTTTATATTAACTGGATATTGATCGTGTTACATAACAAATAATCTGGTTGTATCTCAATTCGGTATAGGTTGATCATATATCTATACAACCACTCAAAGTTTCTCTTATTGTATTTTGGTGTATCAGATTGTCGTTATATATTTAATAGTCATCTTGTTAGTTGAAAAATTGCTTCAGACTCATTGGTTACTGAGTTCACCGCATAGCGAATTCACCCGGATCACATGAATGATTTCGATCTATTTATGAGACTACATGCATTGATTACTTGACCATATCGGCCTTCTTTCATCACTAATTCACTGGTTTTTGTGCTTTTGTAGGTATGCATAGTTATGCCTTCTATGTGTGAGTGTGGCGATAATGTAGAGTTAGGCGTCTTGTGTCGCATAGGCATTTTGAGCTGGAAGGACTGTGGCTGATTGTCTATGATAGGACCAGATAGAGAATTTTTGTTGAGATATTATGGTGATAACGTGAAGGCATCGAGTCAATTTTGGGCAAGGCTACGCTAGATGCTTTGGAGATTTTTTTGATGTACTTAGCATAGTTCAGTGGCTTGATGCGTCTCTATAACGCTTGGTGAATCTGGATGCCAACAGCACAGAGCTCAATCATCCACATTGGAGGGCTATTGTTAGAGATAGCTATCATGGATTATACTAATTTGGGTTAGCATAGCTCACACTACTTGCATATGCGGTCAGAGAACTTCATTGAAATAATTAGTACACGGTTTTATATCATGATAGAGCGATCAGCGGGTCTTCTCTATTTATAGAGTATATTTCTGCTCATCTGTTTGTTTCTTTAGTGCTTATGCAGCTCGATAAGATTTCCTGTGTACAGTCTGTTGGTTCCTGATTGATCTCAATGACTCGTCAGTTAGATAAGTCATGGTTGATTTGTGTTCTTTGAGTATGATGATAGATTGTTTGGTAGAGATACGTATGATCTAGTTGGTTGACTCCTATGTCTTCATCACCCTTCATGCGATCTGGTTGGTCAATAGTATCGTTTTTGTAATCTTAGATATTCTCCTTCCCAGTGGGTTGGTTCTCTTGTTTTGCCTTCATATGCCTACATGACTAGATACTGACCATGCGGTGGACATCTGAAAGGAATGTCGTTGACTGAATCAACGATGGCTAACATTAGACATCTTGATGCCTAGGTCAAAGACTACTTTGCATATTGCACTTTAAATTTTCATTGAGAATTAATTATGTGCATTAACGTTGATCATTAAAACACTAGCTCTGTATTTTGATCGTCGTTCATCTCTATGCCACCACGAGCGGCATATAAATCTTTTCAATTCATACGCGAGAGCGATGAAGTCAGGAGATATTTGCCCTTGTGTATAGTAGTTTCTCTGTAGATTCTGCACTAATATCAGATCTACATATGATGTCAGTAGGACGTACTTCAATTTTTATCGTCTATCTATTCATGCTAATTAGGTCAACTCTCTCATTGTTTTTTGCAGAGCATAAGTCATCCCCGAGCACAGTCTATTAGCTGCTTGGACCTAGATGGAGGCTTTGTATTGTATGTTTTGTTTTTTTCGTTTATAGTGATAACGCACTTGGAGACATTTGTCATATCGAGGTACTATGCTTTGTCAACAGTAGTGATTAGAGTTCACCATAACTTGCCTTATGAAATAGGGGCACATTTTTTGTGGCTATATTCTCTTTGTATGTGCGGTCTGAACAACTCTTAACTGATGGGAGAGAATGGTATAAACACCACATGGCTTCGGCCGGGAGATGTAATATGGATGAATAATAATATAATTACATATTGGAGCTTCTTTACATCTTTCATTATATATAGATGGATGGGCTCTAGTCACGCATTAAATAAGATGAATGATGAAAAAAAAACGGTTATTCTCAAATTTGCCTCTCTCCTTTCGAAAATATAAAATAAAATGTAAATTTGGCTCTTATGTTTCATATTTGTATCTTTAAACGGTTTTCAGCATAGCTTGTATCTGTTTGGTCGGTATTAGAGATAGGGGACTTTACCTATACGATTACTGCTAGAGATCGTTGGTGTGCTCGACATAATGGCTATGGCTGTAGTGCATGTTCTGAGAGTTGAGTACGCGTTACGTAAGTGTAGATACTTGTATACATGTTAATGCCGTTATGAATGGTAGCCAATACCTGCATGAACGAAGTAACTTTTATTTTTGGATTAGGTTTTGGCATATATCTGATGTGTTAGGTTTTTTAATTAGGGGGTACTTTTTATTAGCCGTATGTATTTCATGTCGCACCATGATCATAATATATGGTTAGATCTAGTAGTAGGACCTTTATTCGATTGAGCTCGCTAATAGAGCAAAAATGACTGTATCCAGTGGGCGTCCAACTGCTCGCTTAGGTGCTCTTAAGCTATCTGATTGTACGTGGTACGAACCGTAGCTGCATGAATCGCTCCTCATCGAGCTGCATTTGCAGATGAGCTCTCCTATACTAATCCAACTTTCAACGACATTTACTATGTATAATTTACTAACGGTAGTGGAGGCCTAATAGCTTTTACATCGGTCCAGTGCTTCGTATTTCTGGCGAACCTCGGGTATACGTCATTTTTAGATTACCTATAACTGGCGTAGTGATGTTATATTTAGTCAGCAGCTGTGCATTCTAGTTGACCGAGCGAGTCATAGCTACATATTGCTTAGTGGTACGTTATATCTATAGCATTGCCGTATACATTTTATAGTGTACAATTGCTAATTCCAATGGGCTCTCTCACCCATAATTCTATTGCTTATGCGATTACTGTAGATATAGAGATAACATTGCGTATTAGCGTGCGTGGGGTCTCTGCGCGTTGAGTTTCTAGTTACCGTATAGTACAATGCGTATTAATTTCACACACTACGAACAATACACACAGTATCTAGTAGGTTATATTATCAGTGCATATATATCGAGTTATCTGGGTACCGTTGATTTTAGGGCTTTTCTGCACCAATAAAATCTCACGAGTACGGTTCATTTGTATGGCCAAGTGTAGGTCAATTGATGTGGGTAACGGAATACTTGCTAGATTGCTAATGTTCTCATTATTTTCTCATTGTCACAGCGCAGCATACATCATTAGTTTTCTTTAATTTACTTGGTTTTTGTTTCATTCAATCAGATCCTTTACCTGTTTGAGTCATATAGTTAAACATCGAGTATATGCTAACAGTGTTTTGCCGTGTATTTGTAACGTTGCTTGTTTGTTCTATAGGCTGACAGTTTGAACGAATATCGGTTGTGGTGGTTGGGCTGGGTGCGTGCGGCCTCAAGTAAAGGGTGGTGTAGTTGAGTCAGGCACGAGCAGATGGCGCCCAGGCCATAAGGGCCTCGTTGCGAGCCGAACACATATGTGTAAGGTCGCTTCCATTCTTTTGTGATAGTGTGTGAGAGTGTTTGGCTGGTAAGAGCTTTCCAAGCTTTTGTGCTTTACATGCACCTATTTGAGGGAGGTCCTAGTCAATTAAGTAGATCTCATTATTTTTTATCTATGACTTCTTGTGTTATAGAGTTATCGAGAGGTTATCTGAGCGTTATAGTAAGTTGGACTTCTATTCCCGTCGAAATCTAGGGTGTTTTGCGGGGTTACATAGATTATAGTCGCTAATATTTATACCTGTAATTAGAACTAATCAAATGAGGTTGGTGGTTTTGTGATATTATGTGTGGTTAAGTGTTTTTATAATTTAATATGTCAGCTCGTAGGATAGTACACCTTTATGCCTTTTGTGAGGAAGACTGAATTAATCCTGTCATTAATAAATCAGTCTCTAATTACCGTGTTTGGTTTATGTACAACTCTATTAGGAGAGTTTTTTTCTACATGTGGTGAATTAATGTATATTCACTCTATTTGTTAATCATTTTTTTTGGTTTATAATTGGTTTTATAGGCTGTTGTATTAAATGCTCGACACGTGTGTCACACCTTCTTATTATCTAAAAGCATAAACATAGTACTTATATGCACCGCGATAGAATCATTATGTCGAGAATCTTAGAGACATCTCCTGAATTAAAACAAGGCATTAGGGAATCCAGATTCAAGAATTCTAGCACCTCCCTCACTCTACTATCACATGGAGTCTCATGGGAGAAACGATGTATTAGGTGAGAGAGAAGCAACGATAAAGGACTGCCACATACAAGGCAATACCATTAAGTGTTGAAGGAGATACTCACAGCGTTGACAATACGAACAATGAGACAACCAATCGATACTCAAGACTCAGTACCGAGCATGCTTTCTCGTGTAACTATGATATAGTGATCATGACTTAATGACTATATGAACACGCACAACATCATATTAATATTAATTATTTATTATCTCCTATAGGACATAACATACCACATCCGTTTGTGGTGTCTTCATAATTTATATTTAGTATTATTGTGAGAACATAAATCTAATAGTTAAGTAGCTTCCACTATCCAAATTCTAGTTCACGGGTGTGTCGGATTATCTGGGAGTTTGACGTTGTTTGCTCGCGCCATGAACCCACATGGGAGCACACAAGTATGGTGACAACTTGTTAAGGTGTAGATGTAGTTAGTAGATACGCAATTATATTTTTGAATCCATATTCAGTGTGCTTTGATCGTGCTTCTAATTAATCAGTCTTAGAAAAGCGATTGTATTTTTGTAGTTTAGCCCGATAATTCTCGCATCAAACGGTATTTTGTCACATGCTTGGGGGATTGGTTCAAGACTGACGGACAGCTTTTTTATTTTTATAATGATAGTTCTCTTTTTTTCTTCGTCTTCTCATTCTGTAAATTTTGGTCATGTAGTCTTATAACTACGCAGACATAGGATTAGTTGGCATTGTCCTCCCAGTTAAATCATTACTTAGTGCTCGAGACTATTCTGTATTCCTAGTTATTATCTAGAATAGGATAGCAAGGGTACATATAAACAGATTGTTGTTTGTCTGGAATTGCATCTCTAGCTAGCCACAGAGGACCATGGAGAAATGACGAGCTTGACGTATTGCTATCAGACCATATTCGCG